CTCCGGCGGCCAGAGCGTGATCTACTTGGGCACTGGCTTCTGTAGCAGCCCGACCTTCGCACTGGAAGTATATCAGTGGGTTCCTGCTTGTGAATCCTGCACTGGAATGGGTAGCATCCGCTACGGGCTGACCTTGCGTCGTGGCCCCCGGCGTGGGCCACCCAAGTTCCAGGGTCATTGACGTGAAGTCGGATACAGCAGAGAAATTGTGGTTGCTGAATGTGTCTAGAGGCCTTGGTGGGGCCGTCGGCGAGTCCATCGAGTTGTGCCGACCATGCCGCGCACAGGACGGCTCAAGAGAGAATTCGGGCGGGCGCGGTGGTTGGTATGTGAGCTCCGCCAACATCGCGGCCTAAATATTACCCGCTGCTCCAGCGATAACGTCAAATGAAGGGAATGAACAGCCACTTAAGTACGCCTGAAAAAGCGGATGTGACTGCCTAACTGCCGAGTCACTTTTTTCGCTTCAGATGCCAAAGGGTCTGTGTGGCCATAAGGCTCCCGTAAGGACCGTTTGTATTCCTGGAGGCTTTCGTCGTCAGCCTGTGTGAGCCTGCAAAGTTAATCTTTCATGCAATCGACGTAGTTGGGGGGAAGAAATTCGGCACGGAACAGCTGTTCAAAGTGGGACCAGCTGTCGAAAGACTGGCAACGACGCCAACGTGCAGGCAGAGCCAGACAGAGTGACGGGCAGAATGCGGAGCAGAAGAGTCTCATTTGTGAGGGCTTGTGCATCGCGATAATCATGTAACTCTTGCGAAAAGTCTGCGACCGATTTCTTGTTCGTGTGTCCCTCGTATGTAGGCCCGGCCAGTGGTCTGGTGTAGCCTGGCGCTCCAGCAGCGCGGTCAGCTGCTCGAAGATACGAGACGTATCTTGCGTGGCCGCGTCCTGTTTCGCTGTGTGAGCATCATAATAGACTTCAGGTCTGTTGGGTTTTCACGTTTACGAGCTGTAATTGTACCGGAACGCAAGATCATGATTGATATACGGGGCTTAACGTGCCAAACCACCATGTGATTATGAGAGACGTCGTAGTAGAGGGCTACGGAAATTTCGACCATCTAGGGTTCTTTAAAGTGCACCCAAATATGAGAACACGGGCGTACAGCACTTCTCCCTCAATCGGAAATGCAGCCACTGTAGCCGGGATTTGAACCCACGACCTGCGGATCAGCAGCCGAGTACCTTAACCCTTACACCACCGCGGCGGGGTGACGCAAGAGCACGGGAAGGCAAAAAGAATAATGCGTTTGAGATGGGCCGACTGGACGAGCACCTTCTGCGTGCGGCTCTCGTGGTACGAAAGCGAACTACAACGGAAAGAATGGAAACTGAGCAGACCGCATGGGAAGGACTGATAGGAAGGTCAACTACATGCGAAAACCAGGTTCGGCGCCGGATGAGGGCCCCGCCTCCACTGAGGTCAGCCGAAATTCACCGGACGCGAGCCAGCAACGCTGAGAACAAGAACCGCTTTTATTTCACGATTCAAAGAATTACAACTGGTCTTCCGGACCGGCACTACCCAGTACTAGCGCACACAGGAGGACCCAAAAAGCTCGAACGAACAAACCCCGCAGACGGGCAGTCAGTGCAACATACAGCGCGGAACACAACGGCAGGGAAAGCCAGCGCAAAACGTAACCGTGCCGGAAAGCAAACTCCCACGTAATACGCCGTAGAATACGAGCCACCGACTCGCCTTAGTGGACGCCCCAAACCGGCGTGCCTCTGCCCTGTGCCTCAGCTCTGTAGCACTCACGGAGGCAAAACCCATCGCGCCGAGCGCGACTGGCACCGCATCCCATCGCTTGCCTGCCATTGAAAAGCTCCCGCGCTCGTCTCACCTCCCTCCTTATCGCCCATCCACTTTTCCGCCCCCTGTGCGTGTGTTTCTGTTTTTTCGAAGCTGACACTCGTCCCGCGCATGTGCAATACCCCTGTGCTCTCCTCGCCTAGCTTGCCCCATGCGGACTGCAGATAAGGGCCCATCGGCCTGACAAGCTACAGACGCTTCCGTGAGTGATGAAGAGCAGGTGTTGGAATTGACTGTCTGCGAGTCACTTGGCCGGACATTCACCGTGAGGCTACCCGATTTCACTCCTTTTTTTTCAAGCTGAGCTCATGGCGGTCATCAAGGCACTGCGAAAATAAGTTTCGCTTTCGATGTGCACAGCCTTTTCAGCTTCACATAACTCGCGTGCCTTCAAGACGTTACGGTCGTTAGTTCCACATCAGCTCAAGTACCTAAAACTAGTGTGGGTACCAGGTCACTGTGGGTTAAGTATAAATGAAATGGCTGATGCTATAGCCTGCACATCACTAGATATATCGATACTTTAAGTACTTCCAGTGGTGAAAGAACTCACTGCAATCAGATACAGAAAATTTGCAATGCACACTGCTAGGATGGGATAAGTAAAAACATGTACGGAGTAAACACACGCAAACTTCCCACGGAAGGCTCTATAGAGCCCATTTCGGCAAGCAGAACGTGACGATAACCAGATTTCGATGGCACGTCTCCTCATAAGTTTATACGTGCGCACACAGGACTAGTCTGACCATTTCACCCCTCTGCCAGTTCTGCGGAGAATTAGAGAATATTGCACACTACTACTGTCATGTCGCCGATATTCCAATGTTAGAACACTTCTCATTAGTCCCCTTTAAGAAATAGGGTTATGGTTAACTAAAAAATGTAATAAGCTTCGGCGCCTCAGGTGTCGGATACTGCCACAGGTATGTCCTGTATGTCGTGTCAATAATATCATCCAAACTACCAAGACCGAGTACTATTTTTAGTGTAGCCTTCAGATATTTTCGTATTAAAGTGCGGTAAAACCTAACGAAACTCTTCTAAATTGTTTTGGTCAGGTCTTTACGGCAGTCTTATTTATGAGCTCAAAAGCATATTACTTGTAGTCCTACTTCATCGCAATACGTATCATTATCATTTAAACTTTTAAACTTTTATATGTTGTAACATTATCAGATGACCTTTCAATTGTTGAAGCACTCATCTAGGCCAATCCCACAAAGTGGGTACGCACCATTACTTTTTAAAGAAAAACAAACAAACTAACAAATAAATACCCGCCTACTGCACAAAAATTATGATTGGTTTGGTTGTAGTGGGTAACCAGCAAGTGTGCTTGTAGCAGTTACCGAATGGAGTTTTGAGCAGGTTCGGAAAGGCCGCTCTTCCAGCTTTTGATGTGACTGTGGTGCGCGTTTCGCACGCGCCTGGATGTTTTTTTTTTATTGTGGGCCTGAATCCTTTTGCAATATTTAGCCTTCAAAAACATTTGCACTTGTATTGTACGTATTCTTCTAAATAATAATGTATTAAGTTTTTTTAAGAAAGCAAAAAGGAGCTAATTTGTCACCATAATCATTTTTTTCGACCCTTCCGGGCCCCCTAGGGACATTACACAAGGGGTGAGAATATTTTACTGGATACAGGGAAAACAAAGAAAGTAAGAAAGTAGAACAAATACACGATCAATACGTTTGCGGGATCTGACAACAGACGTAAAGAAATTGGCTTATACAAATATAAAAACAGGTGCGAACCAACTTACACACTGCAGTAGAATGAAATACAGTGACTGTAATTGGGGTTTAATTGGCTCCAAAGTTTCAGTGAGCTGTCAGTAGCTGTTTCAATGCACACGAGTCAGGCTCCGAGACGATGGCTTCTGGTAAGTTATTCCATTCCTTAATGGTGACAGGAAGAAATTAATTGTTGAATGCAACGGTCCTACTGATAGGGCATTGGAGGCTTCGGGAATCGGCTAGCCACCAAGAGTAGCGAGCGGGAATATGGTGACAGAGCCACGAAAGTGAAGAAAACATGAATATAATTTATGGAATAAACAAGATCGACAAAACACGTCTGTCAGGTAGATTCTGCAAGTCTAAAGAGCCTTAATAAAAGTGATGAATTGGACCTGATAAACCAAGCAGCCCTATTTTGAAAGATTTCATCAATTTAATTCGATAGGTTTGGTGAGGGCTCCAAATTTGAAGTGCGTATTCGAGCTTCGTACGAACGAAGCTTACGTACGCAATTTTACGGACTGTAGGAGATATTGATATGTGGGGTTTAACGTCCCAAAACCACTATATGATTATGAGAGACGCCGTAGTGGAGGGCTCCAGAAATTTAGACCACCTGGGGTTCTTTAACGTGCACCCAAAGGGACTGTAGGAGGTGATAGGCATAAAGTTCTTCGGATGTAACCAAGCTTATTTTGTACGTTAGCGACTAAGTGTGTATTGTGATCCGACCATGCCAAAATGTTAGAAATTAGCACGCCAAGGTATCGGTAATCAACCATATTGAACAGCAGTTTTCAGGTAAAGGTAGCTAATTTTGTAGCATTTCATAATCGTCAGGGGTGGTTATTCGGCGTTAAAGGGCGCAGTCGTCCACTAATATTCGAATGCGTGTCTTTTTGACGACACGGCTGAGCTCTCTGTGCGGTATGGCTAACAGGATAAGAAATATTAGCAGAAAAAAAATTGGCCCCGTATCTGCATGTTGCGCCGCAAATGTCGTCGAAAGACGGTAGTCTTGCGTCTAGATAGAGTGGACAAAACGTTTATTTGATGTTCTGCGCAAGAAAATTGGTAAATAGGTATTCTAGAAGCGCTGCTTTAGAGTGCCTCAAGCGTGCAGTGGAGGTGAACGAGCGCATTCGTCATGTCACAAGTGTGACATGAGCGCTATCTGGCAGTTATCTTGGAAAGCGAAGCGCGTGCGCCCTGTGCGCCCGTCTCGAAGGTGATAAGGTGTATAACGCAAGGCGATGGGTAGGTGCCCCACCGTGTTGTCTTAGCAAAGCGCTGGAAACACTTGCCTTTTCGTGCAAGCGTTGCATGGTCAGCGCGACGTGATAAATGCTACGGTCCTTAAACTTACTTATGTATTTCTAGTAAGAGACACAGATATAGAATATTGACTTGTTATGGTGCCACAGATATGTGCAATAACTGCTTTTAATCGACAATCACACAAGTATGAACGGCGAGTCTTGAGCAATGGTGGTGGATGTTGCAGATGAATTCGGCCGTTTGGAGTATCGTTTGGCCACTTTGGTGCCGTTTAGGGTACCATTAAAAGCGGACAAACAGACAAATGTACAGACAGCCAGACAGACCAAAATTGTTGCGTGAAGGGTCGCCAAAAAAGACTATCGTCTTTCATAAAGATATAGAAAGGTGGAGCACTCACAGCACCCAAGTGAAGAAGAAGGAGAAAAGAGATAGGACAGATGGGGGACATGGTAGAAGGAGTCCGAAGACGGGGCAGCGATCGGCGAGAGCTACGTTGACATCGGAGATTGCGGACGACACAACCGTTCAGCTCGGACTCCACCAAGTAAAACCAAGAATTAATGTTCATAGTCAAAGCGCTGTCGTGCTTGTGCTGGACATATCTTCTCCAGACAGGACGCCAGCCTCGAACGCCATGGCGTGGAACGCTGAGCCGGGGTCGTCCAGTAGAGTCGACACTGCGCCAAACTCTCGTACTCTTCCATCTTCCATGACAAGTATTCTGTAAGGACAATGATGGAATAAATAAATTAAACTCTGACTGTATGTGAACACATCGTATATAGGTTTTCGGGCATGCGATACGCCAAAAAAGAAGATACGCTATTCGATATGTCATAGCTGTGAGGTTCCGGGTCAATTTTCACCACATATCGTGATATAAGCAGCAATTTTTATTCGATTAATTCTGCATCTATAACAATCCACCACATTGAAGGGGAATCAAAGCGGCACCACGTTTTTATCGGGGTTCAGAACAGTCAGTAAACCATTGTAGTGGTCAAGAGGCATCCCGAAAGTTCTAAGACTTGAGAAGTGAGAGGACTACCTTAAAACACACATCTTTATTCACACTAGGGACGTAATCGCGGACGACTCACGGTGACCTATGACGTGATTATGATCCCTCCGCAGCCAGCACTCACACGACAAGGGTAAATTCACGCTACAAGCGAGGATTTTGGCATGGCTTCCCGCGGATCTCAACTGAGATTTGGACTTCCGCCATTGCACGAATCATCCCGCGCTGACTGAAGCGGGAACTTGGGAATGGGTGACGTATGGTAGTTACGTCTTACGAACACCAGCTTTAATTAGCAGAAAGCTGAGATTTTTTACATATAGTTGGTACGTATTCATCCTGAAAAAGTCAAAGCGTAGTAACACGGAGACAAGAAGTTGTACATCGCAAGCGCCGTTGTGATATTCTGGCTTCCATCTTGTAACCATGTGTACTTGGCTGGCCTTTTTCAAAGCACATGCGTGCATTCGAGCTATTTGTATATTAAAACACTCCGCTTTCCGTTGTGTTTACTCTAGCTACGACGTCCTGTTGACGTTCTACTTCGTTTCAGTCTGTCTTGAAGTTGTAGAGTGCCCTACATGCCCAAGTTGTGCGATCACCCACTTGTCGTAGTCGAGAATCGTGTGCAGGCGGTGTGCGACGGTGAACAGCGTGTATTTGGCGAAGCTCTCCCTGAGCGTCTTCTGAATAAGGCTGTCCGTGTCGCCGTCCATCTGCGAAGTCGCCTCGTCCAGAAGCAGAAGGCGGCTGTTGCGCAGCAGGGCCCTCGCCAAGCACACCAGCTGTCTCTGGCCCACGCTGCAGAACGTTGTACGGTATGAGAATGAAAACTGATCAATGAATTAAAGCAAAACTTTCGTGCAGATGTTGGAGACATAAAGAAGCACCAATTATTTAACTTCTTGAGGAGCAAATTTGTCGTACCTTAACCTTTTTCTCACAGTGCAACGAGGATGCGTACCAAGAGAAAAGAAGGACAAACCAAAGAACAACGCTGAGGCATGTCCTTCTCTTCCTCCGCGTAGTCAAGAACGTGCAAGAATGGTCACCAACTAGCCCAACTTTTAAACTTTCTACAGGAAACATACCTGAAAGCGATTCTCTTCCTGCCACTTGAAAGAGCATGAGCTTCGGTATACTGGTATTGTGCCTTAACGTTCTTCACACAAAGAGTAAAATACGACACAGAGAAACAAGATAAAAAAACTGCCATGTCGGGCATCGTACCTCCGTCTCTTGTTGCTTTTGTGCGCAAGATGTTAGTGCCAATTCTTTGAACAAGTGGCCTGGAGGGGACAGGATACATTGCGCATGCGATAAATTAAACTTTTTGTATAACTGCTATGTCTTCTTAGACTCCAATGTGCTGCAGCCGACTCATTTGGTGAAAGCACTGTGGCATTGGACCGCTATGTTAACATGACCTGTTCCATGCCCAACATCAGACGTAATTTTGTTTGCTTTGAAGGAACATGACCAAAGCCAAATTGCGGGTGCATATGGGGCCCATGATTTCAATATATATATATGTAGAAGTAGAACATCACTGACAACAAAACAATAAAAATTTTGATTAAACCCTCAATATAAATGTTTTCGAAAACTCACAAAAACGACGAATCACTCAAATTTCTTCTTCTAAAGTAGTATCAAGCGCCTGTTGTGTGAATTAATACTATTTGCAGACAGTTCATCACACTTGCGCTCAAGTAGGATTGCGGATATATTTCTAGCTGTGCTTTAACGTAAGCGTATTGTCGACATCTCTTAACTAAATCAGGGAAATCATGTTTTGGTTTTGAATGGCAGTAGTTAATGGCGATTTCTGAGTAAACGCTAAACAGGTAACCTGACTGGGGTATGAAAATTCTTGCATGGATGTATCGTTCAAATACTAAGTACAAAATGTACCAGCCAACGTTGTGTTTTTCCCCAAACAGATATATCTATCGAAATCATTAAACGGGACAGAATAATATCAAGCCGCAGATATATTAACTAATACCAAAAGAAAAATACGTGCGTGTGTGATTCATGAGATGAGTGTGTTGTCTTTTCATGGGAATATTATTTTTTGCATTTCCGAACAGGTCGTTCAGTTTTTAAAGAGACACATTCTTTGTGAATTCTAAGAAATTGACGACGCCGAGCAGCTATACTTGCTACCCACGTCGGCACCACATTTTTTAAGTGTAACTGTCAAATACTGGTTAGAAATGACTTCTTACTCTTTTATTGTACTTGCGATTTTTAATTTCTTATGTAATTTTATTTAGAATTATACTTTTACTGTAAAAACGTCTTCCGAGGCGCACTATCTAGGCTACATTAGTGCAGTTTTCTGTTGCGTCTGAACATAGTATATTCATTAGTTAACCTACAATACATGGAGCTCGAATTGTCATCGATCTCTCACTTCGCCGCTTCTCCATCACCCCTTATTTTAATAGAACATCAGAACTTTCGTTTTTACGATTTTGTTCATGTATTTTTTTCACTCACACCTTGTGAGTTTTCGTGCTCGCAGCAAAGCCTTTTGAAGCAATGCTTGGCAAAATATTATTGCTGCATGTGATACTTCACTGGAGGACATTCACAATGAAAGTGCTCTATCAACATTCAATATTTATTACATGGCCTACGGTATGAGCCAAATTTAAAGTCCATTTCCCCCATATTTGTTTGAAAAGAGACATAAAAAATTGTTACTTCGCCAACTAAACTCCATTTGTAGTTGGTAAGTAATTTGCTTCCATATCATCCTTCCTGCGTGAAAAAACAAAGGTAGCAGTTTAAGGGCTAATTTTTCTTTGTTAGACACAAAATAACCATGACAACTGCGTGACATTCGTATTCTATGAAAATATGAACACTGTCAAAGGAATTACCCGTCCAAATTACCCAACCCCAGCTATCCCCCTTGTCACTTTGACAAAACAGCTCAGCTTTCTGTCTTTTCTTTGGCCAATCACTCGTCAGTGCTTCCATTGTGGCTGTGAGTGAGTGAGTGTGTGAGCCGAGTATTCTTCCTCTTGCTTTTAATCACTTCTGGAACTGCTAGGGCCTGGGTGACCTACAACCTAACCACTTCGCACTTTACGTATTCCTTAGAAGAAGAGCACTAGAACACCTCCTTCTAAAGAATGGCTACTTGGGCTGGACGGTATTACATTCCGAAAGAAATATGCCTTTTTAGTCCACAGCAACGTTTCAGAAAGACGCCAGATAAGAGCGAGCGCACTAAGAAAGTTTCTGTCGTATCTAACTTCTTTTTAAAACGTTCGTAAGCACTAGGAAGGCATATTTATTCAAAATGTAATACCAACCAGCCCAAGTAGCCACTGCTTTGCAGCAAATTTTAAGTACATCGGCTTCTTTTTCTTTCCCTGCCTTTTCGAGACAGGCTTGCTTGAGTTTGATCGGTGATGCGACGTGCATAGTCATGCTTTACGCTTTGTCGGAGTGTGTTCTCTCCTATCATACTTCTTTTAAAATGGTCCTGCGCTCTAAGAAAGTATATTTCTTTCGAAATACCTTCTTCTTCTAAAAGATCTTGCTGCAGAAGACATCTTGTGGGACAGGCTTGAACATTTTTAAAACTGGACAAGGATGATGCGCATGAACGAAAGAAAGGGGCAAACGTATTCGCTGTGGTTTGTCCACTTTCTTTTTCGTTCTAGTCATCGCTGCGCTCCGTCAAAAGTGTTCAAGTAGGGTCACAAATCATCCCAGCTTCCAATAACTCCCTTGATGAAGGTATAAACTATGAGAGCTGCGGAAGCGAATGTTTTCTGGTAAAAAAAAAAACACGCTACCCGAATTCACATCATTACTTGAAAACACTCAATCACTCGATGCACATGCGCCATTCACCCAATTTCATGATCACCACCCAAATATTACCTAAGCATAGTACAGAGCTGTTGGCACAACCCCATATGCTGCCTAATCACCGTTCTCGTCATCATTATCATCAGCATGACTATGCCCGGTGCCGGTAGGGGGTCACCGCTAGGCTTGTAAACTTCTCCTCCGCCCTCCTTATCTGTCGCGCCCTACGGCGGTTGCCTTATATTCGAATTCTCTAAGTTACGTTTAATCGCCAACGAATTACGTTGCTCTGTTATTACATGCCGTGCCTACATACATTTCCTTGCATGAAATTAGAATAGGACGTCCTTCACATGCGTTTGTTTACATACGTATCACGTAATACTTTTGTTAACACTTTTACTGCCTTCACTTTGGAAGCACTGTCATAAAATGAGACCAGCTTGTGATACAAGCAAAGCAGCGTGTCAGAATTGAATACACCCAGAACTCCCAGATATTAGACACCTTTAAGCGAAGGATAGTAAACTGGATTCTCCACACAACAACGCACAGTGATTATCATGCTCATTAAGCTTCACTATTTTCTTCACTGAATGTTCTTCCTGTTTCAAATATGATCGTCTATTGAATTAGCCATAATTGCCTACCACCTGGTATATAATTTGAGTCTTTTGTATATCGTAGCTAATCAATTTACAACTTTCTCCAGGAATACACATTTTTTTTTCCTTCAAAGCAATAACTTATTGCACAAAGCGCGCACAAATTACGAAGTGAAAACAGTGAGCTCCTCGGCAATCAAGGAATAGGACACTCTGTCTATGAGGCTAAAACTTCACCCTCAATAAATGCCTTTAAATATTCAGTTCGCCTTTACCCGAACAACTCTTTCAATTTTTGAATGATGTGCAGTTACTGTCATTGCATTTTTTGTCATGCATCTCATGTTTCTTTGTCCACTTTCATTACTTTCTTTTTCTTGTGAAATATTTATTAGTGTACCCTCCTCACGATTGCATCGTTGCACTTTGTTAGGTTTTACTTTTTGAATTTATTTTTATGTGCATCTCAATGTAAAAAAAATTTAATGTTATTGTATACCATAATGCTACACCTAATATTTTGTACGCATATCCACACTTAGTTTTTGCGATTCTGCCCCTGTTTTTATTTTCTGTTTGCATTACCTGAGCAAATATACAGGTGGAGCAACCTTAGTCATGCAGAGGTATTCTGCCTTTCATTTCTTCAACCTAGTCAATCTTTGTTTTGGTCTAAGACAATGAATGAATGAATGAATGAATGAATGAATGAATGAATGAATGAATGAATGAATGAATTCCATAATAAGAGGTGTCATTTCAGTTTTCACACTAAGGGACCTCTTTCTGTATACCTCTCCCTATATGTAACCCTCCACCCTAATACGCTCAATAAACTGAAACAGAAATAAGGCGATATTGTTTAAATGCAAGGTAGTTCGACCAACAGTACAAAAGCGCTTGTCATCTGTGTTGTAAAGCTAAATATGTTTATAATAAACTCATTTGTGAGCACAGCATTGTGTCGGTATTCTCTTTTTGCGCCGTTCTTATAGTGTGACGTTTTTATCCGACTCTTGCTGGCGGCTATTGTTGAAACAAAACATTGAGAATAAGCAACAAAAGCTATTGCTAACATATAAACGAGTCTATATGGACCTATTTATTTATTATTTATTTACTTATTTATTTTACTCTCAGGGCCAAATGGCATTACAAAGGGGGGCGGGTTATTTACAATAAAATATTTAAATGAACAAAAAGCAGCGAATACGGGTAGATCGTACAAATAAATATCTTAAAATGCATTGTCTGTTAATACACTGTATATAATAAATGTTAGGTAATACAACACCGAACCTAATTATACAATGTTAGCTATTGCAACAAAAAGAACTTATTACACAATGTTAGCTAATGAATCACGGGACAAGTTGTTATTGCTTATAGAAACAATGTCACCGGAAAGTCTGTTCTAGTGCTTTGATGTGCAAGGCAAAAATGAATTGAAGAAATTCTTTGATGCCTGCTTTCTGATGGTGGTCAATGCGGAGGGATATGTGCTCTGGGCGAAGTAGTAGTTGGTCATGCAAGATGAGATGAAGGTATATCTTGTGAAATAGAGTTAAATGGGAGAATTTCCTGCGGTATGCTAAGGAAGGAAGTGCAAGAAATGTTTTCATGGTTTAAATGTTCGAGATTTCTTATAATTGAACAATATAAAGCGAGCGGAGTAATTTTGAACAATTTGAAGGGAAGTTACCAGATTAAAATAGGTGGGGTCCCACACGGCTGTACCATATTATAGTTTAGAGCGTATTAGTGTTTCGTAAAGCTGCAGTTTTAAACCATTTGGAGCATTAAAAAAGTTACGTCGTAAATAGCCAAACACGCGGTTAGCATTGTTAACGATGTATTCGATATGAGGTGACCAGGTGAAGCCTAATGACGCTGTATTTCTCAACTTTAAAGACAATAGTCTTTCTTAAAAACCTTCAACGCAAAAATTTTGCTCTGTCTGCCTGTACTTTTGTCTGTTTGTTCACTCTTAACGGCACCAGGTACTTGAAATGGCCGACCCATGCGCAGCCCCCACCAATGTTGCCAAGGTTCAGCGTTCATACTTGTGCAATTGTCAATTAAAAATCCATTATTGCGCATGTCTGGGGCACTATAATAACACGTATATATTCTGCATGTGCGTCTTTTACTATAAAAGGCATACGTAAGTAATTTGAAGGACCTAAGCGCTTATCACGCTGCGCTGAGCATGCAACGCTTGCACGAAAAGGCGAGTGTTTCCAACGCTTTGCTAAGGCGAGACGCTGGTGGCAACTACCCGTCGCCTTGCGTTCTACACCCTATTACCTCTGCGACGGGCGCGCACACCTTTCTCAGAGCCACGCGCTACGTTTTTCAAAAAAAAAAAAACTGCCAGGTGGTGCTCATGTCTCACGCGTGAGGTGACTTGATGCACTCGTTTGCCTCCGCTGCATGCTCCAGGCACTTTAACGCAGCGCCTCCAGAATACCATTCACCAATTTCCTTGCGCAGAACATCAAATAAATGTTTTGTTCACTCTCTTCACACGCAAGACTATCGTCTATCAACGACATTTGCAAATTACCATGCAGATACGTGGCCAATTTTTGGTGCCTATATTCAACTCGTACCTATTTACCGCCAATATGACGGCGACGATTGTAGCTACCTATAAAATTGCACCGAAATCACTCATCCAGTTTATATTTCATGAAATTTACATTGTTGTTAAACGAACACAAAAAGGACACTGGCTGGGCTTTCCACCACTTACACAGCAGTGGTCTCATTTTTCAAGCCAGCCTCTAACTTGCCAATATCTGTCATAATTTAAGTGAACAGTGAGTCAGTACTTGCCTCTACTAATGAGTGCCTGAAGTATGCGAGTAATTACGGTACTGCAGTCGCTGTAACTCATGTTTGTAAGACGCGTGGTGATACGTAAGTGCTTTCTCGTTTGAAACAGGTCGTACCACTCGTATGTGCTTTCTCGTATGTGCTTTCTCGTTTGAAACACGTCGCTATCACCGTTCCTATTCAAGCTTCATAGCTGAGACTACTTGGCCGAGCAGCGGGACAGTGTGCATCTCACTCACCTTAGGTTGGAACCACCGTCGCCCGTTTCCAGGAGAAGTCTCTTGGAGTTGCTTGAAACCACGTTGACGAGGTGGACCTGTCCAAGTACTTTCCAGATCTGCTCGTCAGAGTACGAGTTCGTCGGGTCGAGATTGTGTCGCAGCGTGCCTCTCAGAAGGCTTGGATCCTGTGTTCGTAGAGAACAAATAGATGCACACCTCATTCATTTTTTGGAAGTTTGTGGTGATTGTAGAGTGTTTTAATAGGCCCAAATGAACACTTATGACAACAGTCATTTGGTTAGAGACCAATGGAGACAAGCGGTACAATAGAGTTTCAGGTTCAGATCTTATGCATATGTGTTGTACTCGTTCTTTGCAAAATGATGGTCCTATAGAAAATGAACGAATCGAAAATGGCAACACTAGTTATGACAGTCAAGTAAAGTATTATGATGTCACGATTAAATGTATATACATATTGAGTCGAAAGCCGTAACATCCTGTCTACGACGTGCATGAGCGTTTACTATCGCCGAATGTAAGCCCCAGCCGGAAATTTATGGCGAAATGTTGTGTGCGGCTAATAAGCACTCCTGAAAGTGCGAATGTTAGTGGGCTCATTTATTGATCAGCTTATTGGTGTACTTTCTCTGTCGGAGCAATACTGGCGCTGTTATGAACCACGGCGGCGAGTTTCACAATTTCTTTTATTCGGATAAATATGCAAGAACGAAACTAAACAAAGCTTTCCCAGTTGCCGTCTAGCGGCATATGACAAAGGGTTGGTGTGGGGGCGAGTACGTTTTTCATAGCAGATCATTTAGGCATGCAAAACGTGCACACAAGGGCCGAGCGAGGTGATATGACAACCAAAAAAGGAGCGTCTGTGTTGTCATCACCAACATCTGCCCTTGTGTACGCACGCTTCGATGGTTTGCTATGCACACGACAGGATGGGCAAGAATTGAGGATTGCGAACATGCGCTAGATGGTAGTATACTGTTATTATTATATGTATCAGCTCGTAAACCTAAAGGAATGCAATACAATCACGATTGTGCAGTGTGCCCGGTGACATTTGAGAGTTTTCTGCGAACGGCACAGAATGTCATCCGCATAACCCAATGAAAGAGAAACGTCGCGCGGGAAAACCAATTCGATACGCTGTTTTTGTCGATAATCCGTGCTGCAGAACTTACTTTTGCTTTCTCGATCAACAACGAAATAGTTTGGATGTCCAGTAAGGTTAGAATTCGGGCAAGTTAGTGCTAGTTTAACTCAACGTCTGAAGCATCACACGAATACGAGGCATGAACAAAGGTAAGTACGCCCCTGCACTCTCATCTAGTTTACTTATGGAGAAAAAAACGTGTTTCAAAGACTGGTCAGCCGCGAAGCGTGTCGGAAAGGGTGCTCGAACTCCTCGAACTTGGAACCAGGAAGGAAGCGAAGCATACATTGTCTTGAGAGAGAAATATTTGAAGCGGCAATAGTGGCGCCAAGTGTAAAACCAGCCATGTATGGAAGGGTGTTTCTTCTCTACGAACGCCGTCAGAAAACTTCAATACAATGCGGCTTACACTCAACCTTCTTCTTCCCTACATTCCCGGTTTGCGTTTTCTACTGCTCGTAGGCAAGCGTGTTTCTGCTCCCCTAACGTACTCTGCCATTCGTTTGGCCTAATGTATTTTTCTTCATCTTTGAAGGGAACCCGTACCGAGTAGCGCGATTCACCCATTTCGGCGCACACTCATATTTATAATTTACCATGACTGAATCACACACCATGACTACCCGAGACGCCCACAAGCCTAAAGCCTTATTGTTCTTGTTAGTCCTTTCACTTTTCGTTCATGCATATGAAAATCTAAAATAATTTGTCTGATAAGCTAATTTTCGTGATCAGGAAGCATTTTTGTTTCAACGAGGAGTTGCATATAACCACTTTTTGAGCACTTCCCATTATCATACATGTAGATGGTGTCTGTTAGTCGCCTTTTTCGTTAGAAAAATCATATATTGTAGCTGCAAACTGTTTACTGAGGTACATCTTTCCCCACGACAGAGACAAACAGAAAAAATCGGCAAGTATAACATTTGAACTGAGAAGCATGATTGTTTCTGCCCTAATATCGGTTCTTTTTGGCCAATATTTTGCAATCCGACACACTACAAAATATGCCGCGCCCGTTTGGCGCAGGAAAAGAAGACTTTCAAGTCGTACCTGCTACCAATATTTCATATATGCACTCTTTTGTGCCCATGATGAGTTTGGAAGCAAGGTTAAGCGTGATTCTAGACTTATGGAACAGTGAACTATGGTCGTGCACTGTATTCTGAGGAAGGATGTGAACCGGTGAATGGGCTGTCATATATATTAACACCTGACCTGTCGGAACGCAAGAAGGCGCTACCAAACAACTTCAAAGAATATCCTAAAGGGCACTATTACATAATCAAATCATAGATAACCACTGACTACCGAATTTAATGAAGCTCTCATCAAGAATAACTAAAAAAAAGGATAGAGCTTTTCTCGTGTTGGAAGTGTGCGTATTAAGGGCTGTGGTGGCGTGACATGCACCATTTTTGTTGCTTTTTTCTTCGGCTTGGAAGGAGGGGGTGGAAGTGCAGCACTAAAAGTGAACCTAGTTTCACATGGCGCACCATGCAGGTTCACAAATTGTGCCATGGTATACCAGGCTTCAGATATTGTATACCGGCGAGTCACGGACAACATCGCAGGATACACGATGCCACTGTTTCAACTTCGGCGACTTCCATTAGAGGTACATTTTGATCCTGGAAGAGGTCATTCTGGGTCAACCAAGCAGTAACGACACTCCACTTTTGCAAAGTTCTTTTTTTTAAGGCTCCAACTTTATATCAGTGAAAGTAATTGTACCCAAGGGTGTAAGTATATTAGGACTGCTTTCTGTTGATGTAGTAGTTTTTTTTTCTTTAAATGAACTAGCTTACAGAGCAATGCTAGTGCTCCCCGCTAGTTTCTTCCTTTTGTTCCATGCCTCCATGTGCTACTACCGTCGATAAACTTAGTGGTTTGAGTGTGTTTATAAGCATTCTGTGTTGAATATGATTTCTTAGTAACAGTAGAGTATCTGAATTAGCCTCGAATCCCGAGAGTCCTACGGAGCAGTCTTGAGAAAGCACTACATCAACTTCAAACAAAGCATTTCACAAAACTCTTTGAGTGCATACCACAATCACGTTGCGTAATTCAACGTAGAAAAATAGTTATATTTAACTATATTTGGTAGTCTTCATAGCCAATGTAAATTGTTTCTGTGATAAAGACTCTTACAACCTCCTTATGCAACCAATATGCAATCCTTAAAGAAAAACGAAGCATCAGCTGTGGTATCACCTGCGGAATGACAGTAATGCTACTGCGGAGCTTTTTCAGCGGAACATCCGCGATGTCGAAGCCGTCGATCAGGATTCGTCCCTCGGAAGGCTTGAGCACCCGCAGCAGTGCCAGCACTAGGGAGGACTTCCCGGCACCCGTCCTGCCCACTACTCCGACCTGCGTTGCGCTGACAGCACATAACGCACGGATCCGTACATCATGACGGCACAGTGCCTATACGTCAATCGATGTTCTGGGTGGTGAATGGGAGGGTCGTAAACTGCCACAACACGAATAGGTAAGCTAGTTTGCACTTTTCTTTCAGGAAACAGCACTAGACAATAAAAGAAAATGCACACAAAAGTGACCACAAAATCTAAATCAGGAAAAAGCTAGACACACACCACTGCTATATACCGATTTCGTCAAGAGGAAAGACAGAGAGAACAATTTCGTACAAACTTTTTCATTCATAGTGATGACCGCAAATGCGTATAGTATTCATGCGCCTATTATAGCAAAAAAAGACCTGAAGTTTCTCGTCTCACATACGATGACTAACTTCTGCCAGCAGAGTGCATTAGAAAAGATTACGTTCAGATTTCCTGTTCCAAATGGCAAATCCAACGAGCTGAGCATTAAGGGAGCAAAAAAGGATGACTTATTTCATGCTTTTTTACTCGCAAACGAATTCATAGAGCACGCCAGGTCTACAAAATGTGTTTTCGGCTGCCCGCTCTTATCTCACAGCACGAATATTTTTTTATGTTATAACAAGTAAGTCAGTTTCTGTAGACTTCGTTTTGTGGTCATGCTCCAAAACTATTCATTCTTTATATTTTTTCGACTGCAAAGAAGTAATGTGCAACAGCATGTCACTTCATCTTGTTTCGATATTAACGTGGTCACGTGAACAAGGAGTCGAATCCACGTTTTCGACTTTAGGAGAGCCACACCTTCGCCGTAATGCACCAGTAAAAGTCCTTACGCAATAATGGAGTCTTCGTTGCATCGCGCAAGACAAGGAGGCGAATGAAATTATGCAACGTATTTTACTGCTCAAAGTTTTTTGAAATAGTTCCTTCGCGTTTCACGACCCTTGAGCCAAGCTCGTTAGAGCTGTTTCAAAACATTAAGCGAAATTTCTCATAAAACCATTTACTTTTCGACCTTTTGTGGATATTACTCTTGCTTTTAGATTGTCCTTTCGTCTGGGAATCTGTCGGAAGTATGAACAACGACTTTTAATTTCACAGCCTACAGAAAAAGTTCATCTTAACGGACATGGTGGAATGCCCCTTCCCATCGTGACAACTCGATGTCCTTGAGTTGTGATATTAGACCAATAACTCCCGGCACACATGTGAAAATAATTCTGGATTCGCTCTTAGGGCTACACTAAGCTAGGAGAGTGTGTGCCAGTCGACTGTATTTGCAAATTTCTTGTGAGCGTAACATAAGACAGTGCTCTAATGACGACGACAGACAATTGTTATTCGAAGTAGTGCACTCTTCAACTCGGCAGGTCTTGGCCAACTACATATACGAAACGTGTCCAATACTACTATATATTTATTCGATAGTCGGTCGCGAAAACCTTTCTTTTTCAGCTTCTGCAGAAGATTTAGCAGTCATAAATAACAGTTTAGTTTGATCTGTCGCGCTATTTCTGGTATTTAGTTTGTGCAAAGGTTCTATGCGAAAGGCAGGAGCCCCAGTCTTGAACTTCATCCATGCGAACCAAGCCAAAGTAGGATGGGAAGACGACCAATAGCTGGTATATGTGTATCACTAAGACTTCAAGTACGCTCTGGGACAAGTACAAGTGAGAGAACGACCCCACCGTTTGTGCTGATTTGGTTTCCTTTACTATCCGTTCCATAGTTCAAGCTTAGTATATAAAATAAGTGAACTAAGCTCTCATACTTTTCAGCAACAGTTCATTAACAAACAACGCATGATAAGCGCTTACAATGCGCATCAGTGACATGCATTTCATACAACGCTGCAAATATCTGTTTTCACCAGTGTCACTGTAAAGGTGAACAGCATAACATTGCCGTAAACAGTAACACAATACTACAAGGCAATCAGGCAAATTTTGGCGTTCAACAGAAGCCTGACGGCACTCACAGAGTAACACGAGAGCAGAAAAGACAAAATTTGGGGACGATAGCAAAGCGAGAAACACAGCGCAACACACTGCGACGTTGTTTATCGCGTATACCTTCTCCATGGGCAGCACCGTGAACGTTACATTGCTGAGGACGTTAGGCAACACTCCTGGTCGATATGAGGCCGAGTAGTTTTTGAACTCAATCGCTCCATCCGATGGCCAGTCCGAGAGTGAACGCAACAGGGCTTCCTTTTTCTCGTCCGTCACATCTTCCGCTAAGTCGGGCTGAAAAAGAAGATCCCAAAGAAAGAAGACAATGGCATACAGAGGATGCTAACATCGTAAATATTCTGTGTTGTGACGGCAGGTTTTCGCATAATTGTTTTAGGAATTATAGACTTGAGAACTAAATGACGAAACTGTTCTGTTTGCTGGTGTACTTCTGCGTATGCAAGAAGTGTGCAAAATAAATTCGAACATATAAAGTACTCTAAGGCATCACTGTACACAAACAATGTGTGATATGGCGCAGTAATCATTATTCCGGTGATGTCATAGTGAACAGATATCATTAAAAGCTATATTTGATTACGAACAAAAAAAATGTACGCTGACCAATTCAGCATTCAAACTCAGTGGATATCACAATACAAACTGTCAGCCAGTAAAGTTGTAAAGGTGCTATTCGAGCATCCCACTAACGGAAAACCTACAGCTTGCGATGAATTCCATGTATCAGAAGAATTACGGCTTACTGTGATCAAAACTCACCGTTCTTGTGCATTAAACCATAGTTATTCTGTTAGTAAACTGTGAGGGTTTCTTCGTCATACCAATGCGCTGTTCGAGGACTTACTCGTGATTTTGACCTAATGGGCTTTACGGATATGTGGCACCACGTCATTTGATGGGCAGGTGGCTTTTCGAAGATGGAACATTGGTCACTGTCACGGACGGCTATTTTTGGCGACACCGCGTCACGGCAATTAACGGGCGCCGTACTCCCCGACTGACCGTGAGAAACGGCGGCGCATGAAATGGAGCCGAGAAGTGCAAAATGGGGTGCTCCTCTTAGAACGTCGCCGCCGACGGTTAATCCTTTTGTAACTGTGGCGGCGTCTGCAAGGTCGTAGAAGGCCACGGTATACCCCGAACAAGGATTAGACTACAAGATGCACCGACTGAGAGCTAAGTGGTTGACCGTTCCCACGGGGAAAAGCGTGGGAAACGCTCTGGTGGCCAAGCCGTATGACAACAACCCGACAGGTTGTCACTCTCGCTAGTTGCGGGCCCTCTCTCAATTAAAAAGGGGTGGGGTCAAAATATTTTTGAGGCGGAGTTTCCCCTCAGTTAAACGTGCATGAGTGGACCCAGGTAGAGGTCTCTTGTCCCCAAGGAAGAGAGCGAGGAGACACGAGGGGGATTTAAGCGCAGGATTTTGCCCTGCTAGGCAGACTAGTCGCTGACCAAGATGGTGTAGAAACAGATCAACAAGCATCTCTTCTAGAAGTTTTTAGTGTGGCTCTGTATCGGCTGGCCACCTAAACTTAGCCGTTCGTCTAGTTGTGACGCGATATTAACGTCTGCAACGTAGACATCGGGACTTCGCCTCGAGTTAGCTCAACCTGCTCGAAGTCACCTGCAAGCACTAGCCTCCCGGAGCCACCAGCGTTGCAACACCGCCGACATCGCAGTCGGGCCAGAACTCTCTTCGACTTCTCGCTTCCGATCGTCGGGGACACAACGCTGCCGGTCATCACACGTATGCCTTCACCTGTTTATATCTTCGAACTTTCTCCTCCGTAGTCGATTATTGTTAGTTTGTGAAGCTTGTAATAGCTCTCTCTCGTAAGCTGATTTATTGTATCTGTTATATATCTCTTTAGTTGTATCAAGTGTTCATGTATTTTGTTAGTTGTATTGAAGTGTTGTATTAGACCCCATGTGCTGCAATATCACTAGAGTAAAGTTTGTTTTGTTTTCTCACGTCTCTGATCTCTTCACTGTCTCTGCTTGCGTACGGAACGAACCAACCTGCTGTCATTCCCGTCGCCGACTTCGCGCTGGCGACGCTAGAGTGGCAGCTTGTAACAAAACTGGCGTCCGCGAGACAGGACGTTCCGTACAAGAGTAGGACAGTTAGAGGTGAACGAGAACCGTGTGGACAGCGTGGTGATAGAGCCGCACAGTTGAAGCGGTTGCATCCTGCATATGATTGCGCTGGTTTTTTAGTGGCGTTATAGTGACAGTTGCAGTATGCAGTGTATGGATTTTGATAAATGGATCACGCAAGGTAAACAGTTAGGCCTCGAGGGCGCCGAACTGATACAATGGGTTAAGGAGCAGCAGGAACAGGCGCAGGCGTTAGCCAGAGAAGAGCGAGCATGGGCCCGGGAAGAAAGGGCGAAAGAGCGAGAAGCGGCAAGGGAAGCCGGAGAACGGGAAGTGCAGTTACTGCAATTAAAGATTCGCCTCAGTGAGGGTAACAGGGTGAGCCGATCCAGCATTGAGCACGGCGATGCCGGCGAGGAACTTTCATTTGAGCGAGACACATGGTGTCAAGGGCTACTCACGGTTCTGCCTTGCGAGGCAAATGAAGCTGTTGCGCGACTCAGTCAGCAGAACGCGAACAACTATGAGGTAGTTAAGGCAGAGATGTTCCAGACGTTCGGAACTTCGGTCTGGACAAAAGAAGAGCAGCTCAGACAAGAGTCTGAAAGAAAGCGCGAAACAGAAAGACAACAGTCTGGAAGCGAGGCGCGTCGGAAAGCGCTGGACGTTAAAGTGTGTCAGGAAGCGCTGGAACCAGAGATCGCGCCAGAAAAGGGCCCGGGTATTCTAGAATGCATCAAGTTAGAGTATGCCGAGAACAAAACCTTGGCCGGTCTGGAGGTAGATACGATGTCGAAAGACGCTCCTTGCGTGGATGAGGAAAGTGCCAGCAGCCCTAATGGGCCAAGTGAGATGCTGGAAACCTTTTTCGTGCCTCAGGAGTACGTTTCGACATCGTCAAATGTAGGCTTGATTAGCACAGTGGCGAATCAGAGCGAGGACGTGACGGTTCAGGAATGCAGCGATGCCGTCGGAGAGGGCCCAGTTATTGGCTTCATCAGTGTTGGTAAAGCTAATTTGGCCCGACAGTCCGTCGTGACGCAGAGTTCAAAAAGCGTTATCGGGAGGGAAGACCTAGCACCAGCTCCAACAAGCTTCCCAACTTTTGAGGTCCCGAAGCGACGCGATGATGACATCGAGGGAAAGGAGGTACGCAAACATCACCGAAAAAGAAAGAAGAGGAAGCGTACCACACCGCGTGAGCCTAGGGCTGGTCCAACTCCGTCCCGACAGAGACGAAAGGCTAGGCCGTTAATCCGTTTCAAGAAACGTCAATGGTGGCGTTCATGGAGGCACAAGCGGCGAGCCAAGTGTAGAGGGGGAAAAAGAGGTGCGTCACCCGAACGAAACGCGCGGTTCATTTCGACGACTTCGGGAAAGCGGCCTGGCCCGAAGGTTCAAAGTCGAAAAGGCACAACGGCTAAGTACTGCGTGGGGGCGACCACAAAGACACTATTACCCAGGCTTCCCCCTGTTTCTCGCGTCCCTTGCACATTCCTGAGGGGAGCCGACCGAAATGCAGAATGAGGCATGACAGCAGGACACAGTCTGGCGTTCGTGCTTTTTGTAACCTCTGGCGTGCTCGAAAGCCACCGGGAAAGCGACCCCATCGTGTGCGATTCAAGCGAATCTAATTGAGAAAAGGGGGGCGGTCAGTTTGAAGAATTGTTGCACGTGCGTGCTAAGTATGGTTACTTAGTGTTGCTTTGCAGATGCAGACTTCAGTCATAATGTTTGCAAGTTATGTGATGCGATGTAAATTGTTCAGAAGGGAAACCGCCGAGCCAAAGGCTGAAAGTTAGCATCGAATTAGTTTAATAATGAGTGCAAAAATTTGCATAAGGTAAAAAACGAGAAAATGTGTCATTTTTCTAGTTGTTTCAAAGGTTTAGTGTGACATCGTATGCCTCCGCTGCCATGGGGATGTGGCATGAATGAGCATTTGAGGAAGATGTTAGCATAAACCGAATGATTTCGTAAATTGATTAAGATTGGCGTGACGCGGTACAGTTGTCGTTGCGCGCACTGAGACTTGAGGTCTATGAGCATGTTTTTTTTCCCCTTTCGTCGGTTGTTTTCTGTTTGTATGGGCGTATTTCATTGTATAAGAAGTGTATTTTGAGTTATTTTCTTTTTGCTTGGTGCATTGGTTGTTTTTACTTGTTGTAATACACATAGAAGGATTGCACTACAGTAGAGGAGCGCACCGGTTCCGTTTTGTTTCGTAGTATACATTCGTGCAGTTTATTCTGTATTGATGGCTGCCGTACACGGCTATTTCCTCTTCTTGTTTGTATGGCGCATTGATATTGTTGCGTGTAAATGAAGCTGGTACTCTAACAATTGTTTGTTTTTCCTTTTGTTGTTACTTTGATGCACTCTGCCTATTTATGTTGTGTATGAGAGGGACAGCCCTCATGTCTCCCTTGTTGGTGGTGTTTTGTTCTTTGTTGTCGAAAAATTCCTCTCCGTGTGAACAAATGTTATGAATAACATTTTGAAAGTGGGGGGCAATGTCACGGACGGCTACTTTTGGCGACACCGCGTCACGGCAATTAACGGGCGCCGTACTCCCCAACTGATCGTGAGAAACGGCGGCGCATGAAATGGAGCCGAGAAGTGCAAAATGAGGTGCTCCTCTTAGAACGTCGCCGCCGACGGTTAATCCTTTTGTAACTGTGGCGGCGTCTGCAAGGTCGTAGAAGGCCGCGGTATACCCCGAACAAGGATTAGACTACAAGATGCACCGACTGAGAGCTAAGTGGTTGACCATTGCCACGGGGAAAAGCGTGGGAAACGCTCTGGTGGCCAAGCCGTATGACAACAACCCGACAGGTTGTCACTCTCGCTAGTTGCGGGCCCTCTCCCAATTAAAAAGGGGTGGGGTCAAAATATTTTTGAGGCGGAGTTTCCCCTCAGTTAAACGTGCATGAGTGGACCCAGGTAGAGGTCTCTTGTCCCCAAGGAAGAGAGCGAGGAGACACGAGGGGGATTTAAGCGCAGGATTTTGCCCTGCTAGGCAGACTAGTCGCTGACCAAGATGGTGTAGAAACAGATCAACAAGCATCTCTTCTAGAAGTTTTTAGTGTGGCTCTGTATCGGCTGGCCACCTAAACTTAGCCGTTCGTCTAGTTGTGACGCGATATTAACGTCTGCAACGTAGACATCGGGACTTCGCCTCGAGTTAGCTCAACCTGCTCGAAGTCACCTGCAAGCACTAGCCTCCCGGAGCCACCAGCGTTGCAACACCGCCGACATCGCAGTCGTGCCAGAACTCTCTTCGACTTCTCGCTTCCGATCGTCGGGGACACAACGCTGCCGGTCATCACACGTATGCCTTCACCTGTTTATATCTTCGAACTTTCTCCTCCGTAGTCGATTATTGTTAGTTTGTGAAGCTTGTAATAGCTCTCTCTCGTAAGCTGATTTATTGTATCTGTTATATATCTCTTTAGTTGTATCAAGTGTTCATGTATTTTGTTAGTTGTATTGAAGTGTTGTATTAGATCCCGTGTGCTGCAATATCACTAGAGTAAAGTTTGTTTTGTTTTCTCACGTCTCTGATCTCTTCACTGTCTCTGCTTGCGTACGGAACGAACCAACCTGCTGTCATTCCCGTCGCCGACTTCGCGCTGGCGACGCTAGAGTGGCAGCTTGTAACAGTCACCCGGTTAAGAACATGAAGCATCAAAAATCGTACACACTTTTACGCTGTGCCATATCGCGCCCGAGCCGCCATCGTGCAATGGTAAGCTTTTGATTAGGTTTCGTTGCGTCACATCATCACAAGCGTCGTGTACAGTATGGTTCACTGTTAAAGGGAACACTCGAATGCACGCCATCAATATCCCTGGCCCTCTAAGAGCAAGTGTATTTAAAAACAATCTTCATGCAAATCTGTCAAGGGGAGTCGGACCTTTTGAGCACCAGTACCTTTATGCATATCTAAGCCACTATACTTCCGCAAGATAGCGAAATCTAAACATGCTGCTTACGGAGGTGTTTGCTTTAACAGTGGACCTGTCTGTACATGTCACATAAGTTGCAGTTGCATTTGGTGCTCTTCGTGTGTTATAATAACGATGTTATTACGATACCCGTTATAGTTAGGGCTTGTGGACTAATTCTCATTGCTGAGTATTGTTTAACGTGCACCTTAATTGGATTATTTAAGCCTGCGAATTTTCGATATCTAGTGGAGGATGACAAATGCAATATTTGTACGTTATATCAGCCAATCAGGCCATGGCGCATGCGTAAGAGCCATGATGCGCATTCTAACATCAGGTGGTGCTGTCGAGCGATGATGTGTACACATTCCGTCATATTTTACTGGGCAAAAGATGCTTGCAATTACACTGCATTCTTTCATTCAGACGTTATGGTGCTCAGCTGCTCAACCGACGGTCACGGGCTTGATCCAGCCGCAGCGGTTGCATTTCTATTGAGTTACGTTGAAGTGGTGGGGTGTTGTGTACCGTGCGATATCATGTCACGGGAAAGAGCGCCAGAGGGTCAAAATTTCCATCACCCTTCATTAGGGAGTCTCTCATATTCATATCATGGTTTTGGGACGTAGAACCCCACAGATTAAGATTTTAATTATTTAGCTGTTATGAAGATGGCTTAGTGGGCTTATCAGACATTGCATGGTCATAAAGGTTACAGTGTATAGATAAGAACAGACACAAAGGAAAAAAGAAACAAGGTAAAATGCCGAAATAAAACTGGTATTGTTTTTAAAATGACCAGAATATATGCAGGCTGATTCAGGCAATAACTAGGCTCTTAGAAACAAACACAAAGACAAAACAAAAATACGACACTGATTATTTTGTTGCGGTGCTCAAACTCCCCACATACCAAATCCGTAAAGTTTTCTTCCTCAAGCTACTTATTTTTTATTGTTTAGTAAGTGCATCTGTTTTGTCAGGTGTTATTCATTCTTCCGCAATTTTCAAACACGTGTAAGCCTCACCTCAGCTGGAAGCTCCGAGTACTCGAGACATCGCTCGAAGCTCACCACCATCTGGAGCATGTTGAACAGGAGCACGCACAGGTACATCATAGCAAGCGGAACCTGTAAATCGATGTCATACTAACCCAGGTTACGCGTAGCAGATCTGCGTGAGTTGGCTGCGGTGTACGTCCCTTAAAAAGCCTGCAGATATGCTGAAAATCTACTCGCGAGGTAAAAAGGCGAAGCCCAAAGACGTTTCGCGGCATCAGTCTTTAGACAGCTGAGTCCGTTTTCTTACAGAACACTGTCTACATTGACGAAAGTGGCTGCATTATTGTTAATGGAAGCCTACCAGGCTCTATCATGGTTAACCTCCCTGCCTTTTTTCTTCCTTATTCTCTATCTCTCTCCTGTGACCTTCGGAGCAACCATATGGCCACAACACGGCAAGGCCCGTATATTATGCTAATGAGTTCATTTCATTATTTCTCGCACTTCTAGCTTCAAATTGTCAATATCACACTATTTATCTATGATTTATTGTTTATAAACATCCATATTTTAAGTAATTAACCAAAGACAAGGAAAAAATTGTGATAATTTCTGCTTGTCTCAGTTATGGAGTACGTTGAGCTCAAAGCAATAGATCGGCCATTTCACAAACCCATATGCAGTCAGTTTACAAAGCTTAGAGTTCACGGTGCCATGGCTAGTTATTTCTGTACTGGTCATAAAGGCTCACAACGAACCTGCCACACGCATTATTCATTTCTAGCGATTTACGGGCTGAAACAACGACACCAATATAAGCACCTGGGGATCTTAACATGAACATCAATCTTAGCATGTACGGCCATTTTCGCATGTCGTTCCACGCAAATCTGGCCGTCGTCACCCACATTATCAAATGCATCCAGGTGTAACCGCGTACTTAACACCGTGGCTGCTATAATGATGGGTTTCACAAAGTACATTCGGCGCAAACACTAACCTCTATTTTATAAAGAAATTGCGATGCTATTGATACATTCATGCTAGCGAAAATACTTGTAGCTGATGCATTCACGCATCTAAATATTTCAATTTATTTACGGCCATCGTCATATTGTGCCTTTTTTGTGCACAGTAATAAGTAAAGGCAATTTCTGTTTTATAAATAAAGAATCGTTTTTTTTTTTGTGAGTGAAATTAAAACCAAACGACACCTCACAAACCATCTGGTTCTTGTTTCGCATGAGCGTGTACAACGGCAATGCTTCCTGAAATATTTACTATCAAACGCTGCGATTGTTCAGCTACAAAGGAAATAGTGAGTAGTGCGTGTCTCTGCGTAATACTCGTACTGGTGGATTCTAATGCACGTTTGGCTTTGTTCACTGTGTATTGTCTTTTGTTTCGGATAAAACAATGCACCGTTCATAACTTGAGTCGATTTCAATTGGCGAGCCTAAAATGGCGAGGTGGGCAAGTGACTCGACTGAAGTTATGCTGACCTTCGTCTTGCAACAAAGCGGCTGCAAGACACGTGATACCAAACGAAGCCATAAGAACGAAATTTGGACAAATCCATGTACTAGCCATCACTCCCTCGCTGGCTGAAGTGGAGTGCATTGCAGCTCCTATAGAAAGTGTAGTGCCAGATTTTCTTCGAGTGTATTATTGGGAAACTACGTTCACAACGAAGAATGCCGAAGCGCGAAGTGTGTGGAAGAGCAATGTTTCTTTGATTGAACCACTTGAGTAGCTTCCACAGCTTTGCCCCTCATCAGCGCATTGTCTCCGAGGTTGTGTAACCTGCGACGTTAGCAGAAAAACCGGTTCCCCGATCTGTCCTCTTCACCTTTACCACGCCCCTCCAGATAGCGGTGTATTCGAGGGCTCCTTGTGGAGACTATGCTGGACAACAAGGAACATCCCACCTCGATGGCAATACGAGCGGCATCGTGGGCATCTTTCTAGAGGGAGGGTTGAGCTGATGTATATAGTGGAGTGTAAGGGTACATTAACCTTTAATAACCATACTGTAGGGAATTTTGTGTTTCAATGCAATTTCCTCACCGAAGAGGCTGAGCTCATTGCGAGGCCGATGCGGCTCGAGTCCCACTTGTCGACAAAGACGACGTTGAGCAGCAGCGTGGCCAGCACGACGACGAAGCCACACGTGGAGGTGATGAAGCGCGTGAACTTGTAGGTGTCGCAGAAGGCCGAGTAGCCACGTGTGTTGGCATCCGCCAGGCGGCAGAAGCGGTCGCAGGTGCGTCGAACGACGCCGTACGCCCGCAGGCTGCTCAGGCACTCCAGGGTCTCGGTCACGTGCGCTAGCAGCCGAGACAGCACCACACTCTCGAAGAAGCGAGCTTTGTACGAGGCACTCACGGACAGCCGCTGCAAAAAGCAGCCGCCCGTGTGAAGTCGCGATGTCCCTGATGTAAGTTGTGCGAGTGATATTTGTTGTCGTTACGATTGTTGTGGTAGACGAATGACAATGACGAGATGAATGACAAAAAGTACACTGGGCAAAAATTGCCCTCTAGTTTGTTCGTCTTCTAGGCTTTATTTTAACGTAATATATGAAAATATGATGCACATTTAGTGTATAATGTGTGTGTCCTACATCTATTTGTCTTTTCATGTGCTAATTAGCGAATTTTGATGCTTCATGGCGACTAAAAACAGCACACGTACACATATAAACAAAAAATAAAACTTTTGCATGATGAACCATCGCGCAATATCGACAGTGACACTTTGACAGCTGCGGGCAACTTTACCCAATGTCAGTTATGAAATTTATATCTTTCTTGTGTTATTTGTTATTCATGCACACCTTCCTGGTCTAATCTAAAGCACTGTAATCAAGGGTTCTTCGCGAAAGAATAATGACCAACCCCGATGCATTATTGGTCACTGTCTACATCTCTAATACATCACAACTGTGTTATACCAACGTTCTTGCGAGCCCATGTGTGAATATGAAACTTCGCGTTACTTCTGTGAAGATGAGGACATACATGAGAGATAGACACAAACCAGTCCAAAGAAGACGATGAGTACTGTAAGAGCGCCAACGAGGAGAACGTTCGGCGACTGGGTGGCGATGACCACCACTTTTGCCACGGTGAAGAGCACACTCTGCACACTCTGCTTGCCGCTCAGGAAGGTGCGAGAGTCTACGAAGTCCATGTCGGCCGAGAACCGGTTCAGGATGCGACCACGTGGTGAGGAGTCAAACAACGACACCGGACTACCCAGCACGTGCTGAAGCATGGCGCTGTGCAAACGCCACGACAGGCAGCGGCTGCTGCCCGCCAGCAGGAGGCCACCGACAACACGGCAAGCCACTAAAAATGTCAGATTCAGAACGACATATAGGCTGATTCTCTAAGTCATTTATTCACTGATAAACAAACTTCGGCAAAATAAGAGATGCCACTGTAAAGGCGTAGTGAACACACATTACCTTTTTTATAGATCTTATCCCAGCAAAAGTGTACATTCAGTTGTCACATTTTTTTTCCTATACCTGCATATCACGCACGCTCTGGTCAAGTGTATCAGCGTATCAAAAAGCATTGCGGAGCTTCACATTTCTCAGCGAGCAAGCTTCCCGCCTGACGCATCAGTCTATTTCCTGAGACTTGACAAAGCCATTCTTGTACCTTTAAGTGCCTGCTTCCTTACCCTCAAAATGTCCCCGTTGTAGAAAGCTTTGGTTGACTGTCCCTGCTGGCTGTTAGACAATCTATGCCATATCTATGCAATTATCGATTCAGTAACACGGCCAACCCTTCCTTGCAGGCCGACTAAGCTTCTGGTGTTGGGAATGTGAGTTGGATATAAATCCAAATATTATGTTCAAGACGTTAAGAGAGAGTCAATGATTTAAATCTTTACGTAAACGGAACATCGCTCGGTTGGAAGATAACCTAGCAGGTACTATACTTTGGAGCAGGCACTACATGTCTATACTCACACAGCAACGGAAAACGGTTTTTTTTATTGTACACAGATTATTGAAACAAACAGTAGGGCTTCGTGCGCCTATACACTGTGTTTTCTGTTCGACTCAGTTAATATTTGCTTAAACCCTGATAGTAAAAGCTCTAAACCCATCTGCAATCACGCAGAATGCCTTTCACTCAAAAATAACTTGTGCTGTGGCGACTCAAGATGAGGATCAGTGCCATCGCGCAGAATCTCCAACATCCGTATTCTCAAATACTTCTGCACCACTTCTGAAACAGGAGCCGGTACGTGACTAGCCAGGAGTCCCCGAAAAAAATCCCACGCAGACTTTTTAAAGCGTAGAGGCTATTGATTCGAACATGCAATAATCAGTTATCAGAGTATTTCCGTCTAGTATTTGTAAAGGTCTAATACCACATAAGCACGGTAAACGTTGGCAGGCACCAAATACACGGCACCTTAGAAGCGGATCGTAGAGAATACGATCGGAACGTTACGAAAACTAAGTGCTGTCCTCTTGTTTTTGATATCGGTGAATTTATTGCAATTGCAGGGAACAGAGCACGTTAAAATTCAGCAAACCTGAAAAACTTACAAGAAAAAGAATGAGCAACAGCATGTCCCAGCAGCTCAACTAAAAAAATGAAAAACAAAGCAACCAGTCACAAAAACGTCCTTCCTTCACCCCTCGTTTTTTTTTTGTCCGTTTAGCTGCTCTGTAGAGTATCCGCGATGGAACAACTTTCACTTTTAATGAGTACTAACATTATTTTGAGGCATCGCGAAAGGGAAATCTTTAAGGTCCTTGATGAGCAGTTTCTACACTCTGCACACACCGCTGCTGGATGACACGTGTGAAATATTTTAGTAGTATTTTAATTGTTTTGTGACAGATTATATATGAAAGCCAGCTCCACCGCAATATATATTAACACGACAAATAAACGCAGTTCACCGGGTTTGCCAACTCTGCGTATTAAACGCTGTCTAAATCGCAGAAATCGATGTTGAAGACATTGCAAGACAAATGCAATGTTGCTTACGTGCTGCGTGCCTGACTAACAAGCTGCTGCTGCTGCTAGTACATCCCGATTCGCTGGTTCCTTAAGACGCCAGACTGTGCTCACACGCCACTGTGAAGTGACCCCTTGATACCACAACCAAAAGTGCCTTTTTGAAGCAGTGGTATACAAACATACATCTTCAATGTACTCCCTGGCACCACGATAGCCTATTCGGGGTTCTTTACACCAGTGTTCTTATTTAGAGCATTAGGTTTGTGAGTAATAACAATAAACGTTATAGAGGTCCCGAAGAATTCATCTCCCCATAATCAATGAACAGTAATTCAAAAACATTGAAAATATTGAAAACATCTATAAATCCTTGAGATAGGTCTACGTTTTATGCCATAGATCACTTGGATGATGCGTCACGCGCGACAACGAAAGCACGTACCGTCAAAGACGCATAGTGCAACCAGCACTCCGACCCAAGATGCGCGGTGTGCCTCGAGGGCCGAGTCGTTGTCGTGCTCCGTGGTCTCTTCGTCGTGCGCCGATGACACGTCTGTCCACACTTTTATCCACAGCTGCTGGAGCGTTAAAAGCGTCGCGCTCACTGCGAATACCACCAGGGCCACCATAGCCTGCCAGCCGGACAGCCCTACCAAGGCACACAGTATGCTGAACGCTGACTGCAAGACACCATAGATGTGAATAAGGACACGTTAGGATATGTGAGTAAGGAGATGTGAATAAGGAGAATAAGATATGAATAGAGTAGGATAAGATGTAGATAAGGAGAATGAGGAGCATCACAGGGGTGAAGATGTCGCATTAACTACGCAGCACTACGCGTTCTACTCAACCTATCCACGGGTTGCTTATTGAGCAAGAACATTCAAGCATGAAGAGAGCTCTATTTTATAGACAAAGGTGCGATTGAGGAAATTATGAAGGTTTATGAAGGAAGCAATTATGAGAGGATATCTTCTGGTGATATCGCCGAAATGTCGCTTTCTCTAAGCATTTATTGGCGGGCTGCCGAAAACACGGGCTAGTTGGCGCTTTAGTCGTGGGCGTGCAAGATTCTATGGAAGAAGACTGACACTATTAGTGAAATCGATCGACTCGAAATACGGCCTACATATATTCGCATGCGTATATTTATGAAAACGCACAGTGTGCCTTCAACATTGGATGCAAAAATTTCCAAAGCGAGCTGTGATCACAGGATGCATTTGAACTAAACTGGTACTGGTCCGCGATGATATATTCACTAGGCTTCTAAAGCTATCCTTGAGTTTTGTCGGTGCAAATGCATATTCATCGCTATTTGAGTCGAACTCTTCATTTGATGAGTGCATGAGGCAGTTAAGGTCAGTAACGCGAAGCAGGGCAGACGCCTTGCACGGAAATTCAATATGGCAAATTTTCACAATATACCCAATAAGACCACGTTCCCTTTCTACGATATGGCACGAAATAAAAGAACGTATATCTAGTTAATAAATTATTTTATAAAAACATAGAAAGAGAGCAAGCTCAGATATGTCTCAGAGAAATCGACGGGCCCGCTCGATATACACCAGCCAGATACTCATCACTACTATCATTTTTTTCTTTATGGGTTGAAATGCCTTGCCTGGCGAGCCTTTTTTGTCGTCTGCTGTGAAGCCCTGTCAGCAAAACACTGTCGACGCAGGCAAAGCGTGCGTAAATCCTCCTCTGAGCAGTGCCCTGGCGATATTCCAAAGGAGTTCAACACCTCGACATGGGCTATACTGCCATCAATAAAAGTGATCATTGGATCAGGTGTGCATATTTTCTGTGTTAGGTGTCTGAGGAAAATTTTTTTGACGTGTGCTTCAACACGACAATTAAATGGCTCGTTGGGGTTATGAGTCTTCCCACAAAGACATTTAGCAAGTAAATGGGAATAATCCAGTTCCGGATAGTTTGGCTTAACATCCTCAAGAAAAGGTGCTGAAGGTGTTTTTCAGGAATGAATGGTTCCCCATTCAGCTGAGTTTTGTTTAACTTGCACCAAGTTTCTGTGTCCTTCGGGGAATGGCCGTGTGGTGGATTGCTATCTTTTGATGCCGTGTGAAATTATGTGGGCCGGACATTTCATAGCATGCCCCCTAAGCTGGCTCTATTTCATTTAATGCTAGTTTTGATGCGTAGCCCCGATGTCACCTAAGATGTCCACGGCTAGATATAGATTTCCCAACAGAAAGCTTGAATGCCTCTGCTTTCTTTCGTTTTAGCAGTTCTGGGCCCATTCTTTTCTGAATGTGCCAAATGCACTCTAGCTTGTGAAAAGTAACTTCCTAATATGGGTACGATGCTTGAACTGCAAGGAATCCCTTGCTACGTAAGAATGTGGGGCGTGGCAGGTCACCGCAACAAGTTTTGAAATATGTGATTAGAAGAAATAAAGCTCCCACTGAGACCAACAAATCACTGATTCTGGTTCAGAAATTGCCACAGACTTCGAATAACGGAAAAATATTTTCTTTTGACATTTTTGCTTCCTTGTTCCCTTAAACACACCTTGCATTTCCGTGCCGTTACGTAGCATTATTTGGAGAGCTTCGTTCCGATAGCAGAGAGCCTAGTGCTTTAAGTGACCAAACGTCATTTGTAAACACACAAACATAGCTGCACAGTTAAGGGGAAAGCCTTACATGCTTCACCGAATGCAAAACCGTCATCGGTGTGTGTGTGTGTGCGTGTGTGTGTGTGTGTGTGTGTGTGTGTGTGTGTGTGTGTGTGTGTGTGTGTGTGTGTGTGTGTGTGTGTGTGTGTGTGTGTGTGTGTGTGTGTGTGTGTGTCTGTGTGCGTGCGTGTGTGTGCGTAAGTGTGAAGTTCGTGCAGCAAAGTCACATGATCTCAGTACTACGTGACGCCGTTATGACTTCACAAATACCAGGCATGGTGGTCATATAGTGCCGCTATTATGGCGCAGTGATGACGTTACAAGATGGCGTACATCGCCGTTGGATCAAAGGTGGTCTGATCATGAAGGCTGTGCATAAAGCATGTAACGTACTGAAAGCATGTAATGCCTCCGATCATAGAAGCAATGCGCAACACCAAAATAGGGGTGTGGAAAGAAACACATTGATTAAGAAGGAAAAGCAATAGCTGGCTTTAAGCCTTATGACTTACGAGACCTTGAAATAGCCGTGAAAATACCGACCTTGTTGGAACCTTGCTGCTCTTTCTCGGTGACCCGTCCAGCCGATTCGTTCTCTTGGCCTCCTTTAGTTTCGGGCCTGGAAGTTTTGAAAGTATGTGCGTTACATGCGTGCGACCTTTCTGCAATTACCTCCCAGCATTCCGCAGCGATCGACCAGCCGATGAATAATAGACCTGTAAGCATCGTCGCATCATCAAATTATCTGCTCCTTGTGTGTCCACTGCAGGCTGAATGCCTCAGTCAGGGATAGTCAGTTGACCATGTATAGTGTGAGCTCATTCTCTTTGATGCCTGTGAGCTTAAGATGATAACATCCCCTCCTTTTTCGGCGTCCAATTCCGTCCCTCTTCGATCATTGGTTGTCCGTACTACACATAACGTGAACCTCCAAAATCCATTTCATTCCCCTAATGAAATCAGGTATATCTACTGCTGCAGTTTTGTTCACTCAACAACCCTGGCCTCTTTGTGTATTTGGATATTCAGCGCATTATTTTTGTGAAGTGACACGCTGTGCAGTTTTTCATGGTTATTTTCCCTTGCTCTAAGTTTACTTCTGTTAGTTATGTTAGAATGTCATGGTTGTACGGTTATCACTTGAGATGTAGCAGTAACTTAACAGCTATAGTCTTAAAATATTTGCCGTATGCTTTTTTTTTCTTTAAATAAATTCGCTAGTATGAAAAATATCTGTTTGTTTATAAGTGTGACAAAGTACATCGCGTAGTTTTCTGCTATCATAGCTACGACGTGCTTCCGGGTAGTCAGAATCGCAATGAGGCTGCTCACCACCGTGCGCGAGACCTCACGCACTTTAAAGGCGGTGAGGCTTCATTGGATTCGAAGGAGGTCGGGCACAGATTTTCCTTATTATTCTTTCATGCGATCATATTTCACTACAGAGAGGAACACAGCTGATTCCCACCTCTACACCCGAAACTATGCAGAGCTCGGGCGACCACCCTTACGATGCCTCGGACGAGGTGATACCACCCTCAGACCCAAAAACTAAAAACAGATTTTTCGGAATGGGCATACATATACTATATTGCCAGCAAACGTTGCGCCCGTGTGGCAAACAGTGTTTGCACAACAATGTGTGCTTCATAATACACACTGGGTCTCAACTGAGTGGAAAGCGAACAACGCTCGCTTTAAAACAAAATTTAACTTTTGCTTCGAAAATCAGTTTTAAGTGTTGTTAAACTTTTTTAGCTGTATCAGGCGGATGTCATGCAAAGGAAGAGGTTGTACGTGGTGAACCGGAACTTTGTATAGAGAGTCCTAGGTTTCACCGAGAACATCCTAGATTTTTGTTCACGAGCTCTAGCATGTCTTTTACTTGCGCAGTTTTTGGCACCCTATAGCTTTCAACAGCTCTCGCGGTGGCTCACTGGCGAATTCTACACCACACCTGTTTTTCGACTCTAGGAAATGGTCAATGAGCAGCCTCATCGTCCGACAATGCCAGCTCCACTTCTTCTTTCAAGAACACATTCCCCTTTTTTATCATATATTCTTAGGTGAAAGAAACACCAATGCATACTGGCAAAGAGCTTAACGCAAACCGTATGAGTGAAGTGCTAAATCTTCATGTACTTAGGTTGGGGTTCCCGGTAAATAAAACCCGCATAGTAAAAATTACTGGACCCTTTGCACTAAGGTGTCTCTCATAAACACATCCTGCTTGTTTGACATAACACAAAAACGATTAATAATGTTATACGCCAGATTACAGCTTACTCTTCTCGTCACCCATAGGAATTGACATTCCCGCTAGCCTTGTTCCGCCTCCGGGAGACAGCTTACTCGTACGTAAGTGATCACTCTGGCACTTCACACCTGTGAACTGACTTCTTGCCCTTAAATTCACCGAGAGAAGGTAGCGTTCGAGAGCATAAGCTTTAGTGCCATACTTACAGTTTCTGTTAAGCAATCCACACAATCACTGCGAACGTAACTTCTACATTGTATCCTAACCATCCCGCGAATGCGTGCCACGAAGGCAACACTAGAACACCCCCTAAGCAACTGCGTGGCTCTTCAATTCACCTGCGCTTGACACTCCTCCACCACCCCTCCCCCCGACAAAGGTGCAGGAGCATCTCCCATTTATTCGAAATTCAAAAAGATGATCTTAGATGAAGGTGAGCCTCGCTTTGCGTAAGTGTTTGTGGTTACTGCGCGTGCGCCATTCAGTAATTTCCTGGGTGCAATCATGAATTCGTTTTCTAACGGCATGCAAATCTATCAAACGCAGACTCTGAGTACGCTATTTATAACTGCCTAATGCTTCGACTGGCTTACTCCTGCAGTTTATCTACAGTCTGCCTCTTCTATACCTGTATTAGGCCTCCAGGTGCACATGCGTAGTCAAAGAGTTGCAGCCGTTCCGCTTTGTGAATGAGTGACAAGCGGAACTCACAGCTGCATTCACGCCTCTACTCTCGTCGCCACTCTCGCCCTGCTCCTCAGGCATTCTCCACTGCACGAGCACGTGATACTTGCAACGCGCGACTAGGTCAGCGCAGTGCCTAGACTGGGCCTACATGGCGAGTCAGGTACTGACGGGCTCTCTTCACTTCAATCCATTCTATTTTCTATCATTGCCTAGAGAAGGAGTTGCAAACCTGCAGTCCCCGGCTTGACGTCATAACCCAACCTCTTTTCTACTTAATAAATCTTTTTGTTGGGCTAGTGGGTTGACTGCTTACTGAAATGCAAAAAAATATTCGCGCCATCATGGAAAAAAAAATTGAAGACCGGACAGAAAGGGCGTCCTTTCTGACCCATCTTCAATTTTCTTTCTCAATGATACCCGTCCTTTTTTTTTTTTTGTATTTCAGTACCCTTCCTTCTCGTCGCTTCTTGTCTTAAGTGACGACATGACGCTTCCGACCTCCATTGCGGCTAGACAATGATTTCGCAATGGGGGTCACCTTCAGACATGGCTATAGCCAAAATTTTGCCATAACTTACGGAGTTTTCAACTTTACTGTCAGTTCACCATTTTTTTAACTTAGGCTGCAAACCTGTCCACCAACTTGATTTGCCATGACACCCCAGGCCTTGCCTGCTTCATAGAACTTGGTACTCTACCTCAAAAGACTGCCAACCTCTGGTCTAGAGTGTAAAATGGCTTTTAACGGCTGGTGATGCTTCAAATACGTTTTTTTTTTTTTGGATGAGAGCGCCTAATCGACGTACGGACCAAGTGGCCACACAGCTCACCTACTCATCCTATGGGGCGTTATAAACTTCTTATACACTCGTACATACGTCGCCGAATTAACACCATTTTCACAAGCAGTCACTGGCAAGCTCACGTTTTAAGACACTTAACAGGTTTTCGAAACCTCAGTTGATTCAAGAACTTCATTTGCGCCAGCCAGTGTAGTGATACGCTGCGAGTGTTTTCACAGCGCCGATGAAGCGCTGTCATTCGGCCTTCAATAAAGTATAAATGCAAAAATAAATCCTGAATTGATGACTGATTAAGTACGCATTGGCTATGACACTCACAGTTGGATAGATTCAGGTCTATATTTCTTTACCACTAAAATATCACTAAATGAAGTGTTTCATAAGCAGTCATATTGAAAGCTGCACCACTCAATCATCGCCTGTGGGCAACCTGTAAAATAATATACTTCACGTAATCACGATCATTATAACTGTTGCAACGTCCTAAAAACACACAAGTATTATAAATGCAAAGTTACAACACTATGTGCTGGTGTCCATTGAGAAACACTTTTCTTGCAAAAAGTGCTGTAGTCCTCCTTCATTCTATCAATCATTCTAAAAACTTATATGTAAATATTTGACTGTTTGTCCGTTTCAGTGAGTGACTCAATTCACCCATACTGTCTACTCACTTTGAATGTCCCGAATACTTGCATCGTCGAATAAATGCGTCAACATTTTATTAGTGACTAAGCACTCCAAATACAAAACATAATAAAGATGCTCTTGCAAGGGCCACCTATTGGAAACCACTTCCTGTTCTTATACTTTCAGCTCAAATGAAGTTGACAAGCATTGCACAGACAGACAAAAAAAGAAAAAAAAGAAAAAAAAGAATTACAGTACGAATGAAAAATATGGGAGTCTTATGAAAGTAATACACCATCAGTGTAACTACTGCAATGTCCTGAAAATAGGCAAACATTATAAATACACACTCACCACATAATGTGTTTGTCTCCGAAGAAATCTCGCGATGTATTTCTACAGCCTTGCGCGGAAGTCCGTGTAAAACAATTTGCTTTAAGTTTGCTTTCTGTGAGTCGCGAATCGACGACGTCATCTGCATGCATCGCACTCAACACCTTTCGCCGTTTCGTTTTCATAGTGTCTGCATTGTAAGGTCACTGACGATGTTGTCGCAGTTAGCATGATTAGCAAAGTTAGCAGCGTTGCCTAGGTCAGCCGTGTCGCCAACAAGTGAATGCAACCTTACCCTTCGGTTTCGCATGAATGCATAACTTCTGCACGTGCCGTGTCCCTCAGCGTCTCCGGCGAGTCCGGGTCTGCGAGTAGGTCTTCAACGTTGGTGTAGACGCGGATGCTCCCGCCATGAACCAGCACCAACTTGTCCATGTAGCGCAGATAGCTACCCTGGTTGCATACCATTATGCGGGTCTGCGGTGCAAGAGCCATGAGTGTTAAGTGCAGTCTTCCATTACTTTCTCATCAACGAACCCGCTACACAACAACTGAGTGACCCGAGAGACGCCGGCAACTGCAGATACTTTTCTCATTACATCAGCACCAAACGCGATGTTATGCTTCTCAAATTCCTAGCAGCAATCGTTCACTTGGAAGCACCCAAGCCGAAGGTTCAGTAACCGATATGGTGCTCACTCCGCAGTATAAGAAGTATCTATGGGCATATGAAAGTTCCACGAATCAGACCTATAGAGTCTGGATGTTAGGAAAACCTTTTTAGAAAGTCGCTTTCGGATGTTCTGTAAGAACATCCGAATCGAGGAATCGTTTTAAGATGACCACTGTACCCTCACTTACCTCAGTCTCTCACTGTATTTTCTAATACTATCGGACATGATGCACCACTGATATTATTAATATACTGGTGGCTCAGTGGAGCCAGTGGAACGAATAATTATTGAATACCAAGCGATGACTTTGTTGATATTGAGGATAGAGTACACATTATGTTTCTATTTCTACTGAAGTTTGTTGCTGCCGTTGTTCAGTATATTTTACCATACTGCGAAAGGGCAGTCACAACTGATTCAATGACAAGCGCCTACAACACCAGTCTGGACGCACCTTGTTGCCTAGGAACCCAGTGTTTCCGATGACTGTCTCGAAGATGCCGTTACCGACCACGGGGTCCAAACTACTGAGTGGATCATCCAGGAGGTACACATCACTGCGGCTGTAAACTGCTCGTGCGAGCGAAATCCGCTGCTTCTGACCACCACTCAAGTTGCCGCCCTGTGGATGATATTCAAACAATTCTGAGTGAGTTTGTATGATATAGGGTGATATTTGAGAAGAGTCAAGCTCTCATCACAAGAATGTGAGCATTGTTTGAACGAAACAGTACATCTAAATACGCTCGTCTTGTGAGTGTTGCGAAATTGGACTGACTGTGAACACTGTTGTCAATATTGTTACGGGGGTTTAAAACAAATCTGAGAACTTATAAAACGAACATGCCAAACATTAAGGGGCACGACAACTGAAGCTGGATTCGGTCATCATGGACGTTCAGAATATCTTATTCCACATCGGCACAGCACTAGCTATTATAAATACGCTATATGCTCACCTCGAACGAAATATTTTGTCTACTGGACTGTTACATCGAATAGATAAACATGCCAAAGTTCATGGCGGAGTTCTTGCTAACGCTAGTGTGAAGCACAAGCAAAGACATATTCCGTTGTTATCTACTGTCGGGAATGCAGCGGCTCTCCCTTACTTCATGAGTCTCATCATTTTCATGACTTCCATGACTTTCATGCCACAAAGAACAGATCTCAAGGAAAGTCATCGAGACCTTTTAGATCCATAAGAAAGGTAACACATGTGTCATCCTGCTGTCCATTCTCCTTGGTGACGCCGAATCCCAATATCTTAGTCACACTTGCAAAATCCAATTTTGTGGTAACGTTGATATGTCATCTCTACTTGACTCTTTGTTATTTATTAAGGCTTTCCCCTTTGCTGCTTCCATTATATATGAATGTTTTTCTAATAAAAGTTTAGCTGTCGAACAGTGGCTGTTCTGTGCTTTTCTTATTCTTTGCACTCGATCACGGGAACGTTGCAAACGCCAAAATGTCAATGCGCATCACTTTGCTCGCTCTTCAAATGCAGCCTTCCCTTTCCCCAAGCTACTCACCTTCTCGCCGATCTCAGTCAAGTCCCCTGCTGGAAGCCTGTTAAGGTCGTCGATTAGTCTGCAGCCGGCGATCACTTCCTCGTAGAAGTCGAAGTCCATCGGTTGCCCGTACAGTATGTTGTCTCGAACCGTCATGTTGTGCACGTGCGCCAGTTGGGGCACGTAAGCGATGCGACCCTGAATCGAGGAATCGTTTTAAGACGACCACTGTACCCTCACTTACCTCAGTCTCTCACTGTATTTTCTAATCCTATTGGACATAATGCACCACTGATATTAATAAAATACTGGTGGCTCAGTGGAGCCAGTGGAACGAATAATTATTGAATACCCTGCGATGACCTTGTTGACATTGAGGACAGAGTACACATTATTTGTCAATTTCTACTGAAGTTTGTTGCGGGCTTTATTTTGCCCTCTAAAATCAGCGAATAACATTTTCAGTTACTAAAAGCCCAAATTAGCCGTCCATATTGACGGTGAACATTATTATTCTCTACATTTTGCACTTATTTTATTCCGTTATTTGTAGCTCACCTCTGCCGTCTCTTGACATATGTCACTTCCACAACTTTTCCTAGCACTTCAGCGGCCCTACCCACGCTGTCAACACGTTTGCCATGAACAGATACTATTTCTCCAGTTGCATCTTGTCAATAATGCACCACTGTGAAAAACAAAAGAAGGTTCATTTTCGCACATATACCCTCATGTCATTGGCTATCACCTGACTGTCTACGAAAACGTTATGTCTTCTCACGCCATGCACGTTTCGCAGTTCAGTATAACTTACTCCCTAGTAAAGTTTCTCTTAGACGCGAAGAAACCATGGTGCTCCGCTTGTCTTGCTGCATTCGTACGCTGCAGCTAGTGCATGTACTGCTCTCATCCTCGTTATGGCGACATAAGGACTTCAGTCTATCACTCACATAGTGTTGCAGCATAGCCTTTTGAATCTATATTAGCCGTCCCAATGGCTTGCTGATTTAGGCAGCCTTTCTTATTGAACGGACTCTTTCATATCCTATAACTTCAAGATTTCTGAGCAAGTTCGTTTAATGTACTCCTTTGCCTGTGTCACGTTAAAGTTAATGCCGTACCAGGGTCTCTCGACTTTTTACTGGGAATCTTTAACAAAGAACCCAAGACTCCCACACTAGCTTCTAAGACAATGCGTTAGCAAAATAAAAATTTCATTGAATCTATAGGCAGCCATTTGCCCTATTGACTGATAACATATAAGTCTGTCCACTCTAATTAACTCTGAATCTTTTTAATAAATTGTAGTTAAATATACTTCTTGGAAAATATTTATTTGAACTTGACTACACTGGCACACCAGACGGTCGAGACAATCCACAGCTGATTCCGACACCCTTACTATGAAACTCGGAAACGTGCCATGTAATATTAGATAAACATGAAACAATGTTTTCACGAAGAGCATTACAAACACGACTACTGCTGATAAATCGTTTCATTCTGATCTGTTATCGATAGTTTACCATTGGACACTCTGACAAACCGTGGAGAACCCTTTTTCGTCAGGTTAGCGCCATAACTTGAGCAAACAAAAAAATGAGAACACCTTTCGAAAGTACTGGGGTTATTCTATTAAAAACTCTGTCCACCGATTTTTTCTCTCTTGCTCTTTACTTTCCATACCATCATTGCTTCAATCACCAGACATCCGTTCCAGAAGACATCCGCTCCAATCACCAGAAGCCGACATAAGCAGACTGAGGTACATATATTCCGTACAGCATACAGAACAACGAAGCTGCGGTGCACGCACGATCGACGTACAGCTTACCGTGCAAACGACGCGCCCCACGGTGCAGGGCATCTCTCCCAGGATCCCCGAGAGGAGAGAAGACTTCCCGCTGCCGACAAAGCCCACGACGCCCACTAGGGATCCCGGCCGCACGTCGAGGTTGACGGCCTTCAGGTGATCCTGCTTGATCTCTTCCTTCGGGCTGCTCCAGGAGAAGCCGCATTTTCTGAGGTTCACGTGGCCTGAGTCGGTCAGTACAACTTTATGAGAGCGCAGTAACGACGCGGAGGGTCACGCTTGGCCGCCCGGCTACTTCCACAAAGACAGCTGTTGTTTAATCACTTGTTGCCCAGCGTCTAATCTTCGTAGTTTAGTGACTTAAAGCGCATCTCATGGTAAAATGAGACAAATGCAATAAGTGTTTGATAACAGTGTCTGAGCAATATTAAGGCTGTCTTATGTTTGCACAAAGCCTGAGAATGCCATACATTAAAAGCTACTATGGTATATAACGCTGTTTCGAGTGCTGTAAAATAATTCACTTAAGCTTTTCCTAGATCTTGTTCACCACTAATTGGTTGTGATAGTGACTATGTAGAATCTCCAGGCGCATTTTTTTTTTGTCATCGCTGACGTCGAGATTCGCTTAAAGGCCCAGGATAAGAACATCACACCGTGTGTCTTATGCTGTATGCGCGACTGAAAGCGCGCAATAGCTACGACGGTAGCTCATCAGAGGATAGAAACCGGCCGTCTTTCGCACTAAAGCTCCATTGCGAAATGTTAATGTATACGTGGCTTCGACTGAAAACGCGCACCTTATTCAATGCGCAGGTGGCAATCGACAACTAGTATGTCACTGATAGATTTATGTTCCTCTTACCACAGTCTTATATATTCTAAAGAAACAGTTCAGTCAGTTTATATGAGCCTTAGCGTTCATTGATAACAACTGCGGTGATATGATAGCATGACCATCAAGACCTAATTTGTAGTTACACTCAGCCTGACCAAGGGCGTCGAAGGATCAGTACAATCGACTGGAGAAAACAAGCAGATGAAGTTGGCTTCTGTTTTTGAGTTGTCCTACGTGAGTGCGAGGAAGTTCTTGAGACTTTTATAGTGCCACAAAAAAAGGCACCCCAAAATCTCGAATTCCCTTTAAAGTACCGAACTCTGGTGAGTCGCAGCAGGGTAGAAAAAAAATTCAACAATATTCAAGTGATTCTCAGTCCACACTTTTTGTGCCTACGATTTTACCAACGTGTTTGTGACGCCATAATGTCCATATTACCGAGTTTAATATTCGACATTACATGTGAGCATTGCTGCAGTCTGATCGCAGCTACCTTTGCTTATGGCAACTTACCGGCTTTTCTGTAGATCTCGTACGACGCCTTCTCTTTGTGTTCTTCTTGATCCATCTGAGTGCAGAACTCTGATATGCGCCCGAGACCCAGTGCTACCTGTGAAAGAAAAACAGATGTCAGTACTTTCCAATCAGTTCGTGATACAATGTCAAAAAAGTTGTATTATTTTAGAGGGTGGTTCATCACTTCTGGGGACTTGAAACACAGCAGCACTGCTCTGAGAACACAAGTGGACGTTTGTGTTGGCAGAGGAAAGACTCAGATTAAATGGTTTGCGATTCGAAATAACAGCCATACGTTGGTTGCGGAGAATGCAGGCTTCACATGACAAATGGGGACTTCGAATAACCTAGCGCGTGTCCTTTGTAAACGGCGAATGTCCACTGGCAACTGATAACTGATAAAAGAGTAGTGCTTTCATGGAACAGTTAGATGATGCAACAGCAGGCTTATAAATTCTGATCTTTTTGTTTATACAGCGAAACCCTTTGATTCAGTTTTTGCGCTATCGTCCTCTTACACTGGAGCAGGCGCCTTCTTGTCTCTTACGTCCTTTACTAGTTTAAGAATGGTGGGCATTTTGAAGTATAACCCTCGCAAGTGTCTTTCCTTTACCGGCCATCGTGGCAGTAATGCAGGTGGTATGCGTTACAAATTTCTGGCCTCAAGATGGTTTCAAAGTGGAAAGCATATACACAGCTTATGATCCTCTCTTATAATCTCTTTGTTTCGCTTTATTGCCCTGACTAAAGATCAGTGCTTGGTAAGCATAGATGTTTCATAATCGGAAAATTTTATTGGAAAGAAGCGCAGACTGTGTATAATATTTAAGGACTATTTAAACGTGAGACAATAAATGGTCACTCGAGACGCATGGCGCTTTACAAGCAAGGAAAGATAACAAGAAGTGGTGCCAACGCCTTATTCGAGACTACACGTATTGCTGCAGCTAACAATTAGGTTTCAGATGATGGCAAAAAAAAAAACCTTGCTCACAGAACAGATTGAAGTTACACGCTTTTAATACCCTTCTAATTGACAGTAATGTCCTACTTCGTGAACTAAAGCTCAATTTAGGAGGCCTGTTTCCCGCGTCATGTAGTTAAAGTTTTACTTGCAAGGTTGTGATTGAACAAATATATCCTTTGTCATATTTCTGCAATCGACCACGTCAAAAACTGTGAATCTATGTATCTTTTTATTCTCGTTTAATTTTTCATTTGAGCAGATTGAGGGTGATCGTCCACTATATGGGGTCTTCCTCTACGTAGCTATGCCTCACTTTCACATGCCCTATCGGTGCTTGAATGGAAACGCCTACCAACCATTCAGTGAAGATCACAATTGTCTTACAAAAGTTGTACGTCATTAGTCAACCATGTTTTACAATATTCAGCAACTCCTTTAATATACGTTCTGGGTCTCAAGTTTAATAGGCCCAGCAAAATTTAATTGAAGACAGAGATTCGCAAAAGAAATGTCGGAGTCATTAATATTTTTCGGAGTAGGTCAACCTTCAATAGAATGGATTGATTTGTTTTGATGAAGGCTGGTCAGTATTAATTTATAAAATAATACTTCATGTTGATTTCCTTTATCTGATCCGCTTATTTATTAGCCCTATTGTGTCACATTTTGTTATTTGTGCGGTTTTTTATATATCAGCCAGTCTGGCCACTCACTATTGCATTTTATCATGTAAAAAGGCTTCATTGCTTCAATTTTTTCACTATTGGTAATGCTACTTCTCGAATGTACAACTTGGTTTCTCGCTTATGTTATAATAGATGCCCGTGTCATTAGCGAAAACATATTATCGGCATTATGAAAAAAACACCAACGCACCTGCCGTCCATTCCTGAATAGTAGCGCCGTAGAACACAGCGTCAGCTCGGTCACGTACAGCAGGTATAAGCAGGAAAACGACAGCTCTGGCTTCAAGTGAATGCCGGGCTCAAAGAAATACAGTGCCGAAAACAGGATAATCGTCAGCTGAAAAGATGGCCAGAGTTTGTAATGTCGTGACGCAAAGAGCTCACTTAGTTCAGAAAGTTTACGTCCGATAGCATTTCAGCCGGTAAAGCAAACCATTCAATTGCCGACGCATGCACGGTACAACTTTCAATGTAGATCTGACGTCTCCCACACATGAAATTGAAAACACACGCATGATTTACGTGTCGTAACTGAAAATATTGAGAAATAACAAACAAGGATGTCTGCAAAAGTACAGGGGATGTTACTGACCATAATTGTAAATGTGAAGCAAGAAATTTCGACGAAAGGATAACTTGATTCGGTCCCTTCCGGTGGCAATTTAACTCTTAATCCACTTTCCCTTTCCCATATTTACAATAAACTTTCCATTATTAACATCCCTTGTACATTCCTTGGCGTCATTGTCTGTTAATTTTCATCATTAATGTGTCTAACAAAGAAAAACAAACCCCTAAGTGTACACTTTTCTTTTACCACAATACTAAGACGGACGTCACAAGCATATGCCATTTCGAGCGACATCAGCGCCGAGCCCACGTACCCACCGCAGATGATGTGTGTTAAGCACATGCCATGCAACAAAACATGCTGAAGAATTAGCTTGTCAACGCTAAATACAACTTAGACAGCAAGATCCACCCGGTGTTGTCTACACGCCGCCGTATTCCGACTTAGGAGGGGAGGATTTTCAGTCCTGTCACTGCAATATACACAGTGCGATATATCCGAAATAAGAAAATGGGGATCGAACATGGAGTAACAGAGCTCTTGTGTTTCTGTTACTCCCTGTCCAGTTCACATCGTTCTACTTTTACGCTTTACAATACGAATGCGCGTACACTGTCATGGCTGATCTATCAGTTAAGCTTGCCGCTTCACCACAACATTGAAGGCACACCAATCGGATGTTGGCTGCCACAAGAAAGCATTCAACGGCTTGGCTGAGCACGGCAATAATAACGATCATTGCACCTGTGGGGATTATGCCGCTGCAATAGCCAAGGGAGGGAGCTCGGCCTTAAGACTATTTGTCTAAACCGATGTTTATCAAGACTATGAAGGACGTTACAACACGACAGATCGAAATCCTACCAGCCAACTACGCTCGTTGATTACGTCATTTTTGGGATAAAATAGTGACTTAGCGACTCTTGTATGATCGCCTTGAAAAAAAATCAGCACTAGCCCCCAAACGCCTCTGTGTTGATTGATATGTGGAGTTTAACGTCCCAAAAGCTCCATATGATTATGAAAGACGCCGTAGTGGAGGGCTCCGGAAATTTTAACCACCTGGAGTACTTTGACATGCACACAAATTTGAGAACATGGGCCTACAACATTTCCGCCTTCTTATAAAATGCAGCCGTCACAGCCGGGATTCAATCCTGCCACCTGCAGGTCAGCAGCCGAGTACCTTAGCCACTAGACCACCGCGGCGGGGCAAACGCCTCCGCGTTTTCACCTTGACTTGCTCGACGACTAGCCTCCGTTTCCACATCACACTACCTCACCACACGAACTTTCTTCCAACTCTTGGTCACAGAGCCCACGTACCTTTGTAGATTTGGAGACGTTTGCATGCTATTTTATCTCTAATGAAGGACATTCATTGTCCGATAGAAGCACAAACTTTTGGGCTAGTTGGCTTTCTATCACCGGACACTTAAGCGCGCACTAAAGAGGACAAAGTGAGATAATGACAGCACAAGTGCTGTATTCTCCCCTTAGTTCATTCGTTGGTTTATCTGTAGTACCGCTAAGCATTACTGAAGGGAAATTACAGCTGATGTTGTGGCTATTTTACACAGTGGCATTTGTCCGTGATGCTGCTGCGGTGATTACGATGCTCGGTTTCCCGCCCAAAACTTCGATTGCGGCGGCAGTGGCACATGTCAATGGATGTAAAGCTAGAAGCCCATGTTCTAAGCGTTGTCAGGACACCTTGACGAGCATCATGTGGTGCTCAATAATGAAGTAAATGAAAGCATCATAGCATCATAAAAGAAAGCTTCCGGAGCTCTCCGCTACCGTGTGCCTCATAAGCACATGAAATTTTCGGCAAATACAACATACCCAGAGGCCTTACAGGACTGCAAGGTCATTATGGTTACTTTCCATGAGATCCTCGACCATTAAAAAAAACGCGACGACGTTAGCCACCACCCGACATGAAGCTAGAGAGGTCTCAGGCGTCTGCAGACCGACACGTTTGACAATCCACGACCCTAGCATAGATTTTTTCCGTCGCTCCACCCGTCACCCGGCTGTCCGTGGTGCGGGCACGAGACAACCGGCATGGCGCATATACTTCGAGGAAGTGCGAGTGCGGTGTTAGCCGCTACTACTCGGACGAGATTGAGTGTACCGCAGGACGACTATCTGAACGGTGGCGCGCCACCTTTCTTAGCCCACGTGCAGGGTACCCAATCTAGGCTGTCCACTGAGCCATGGCCGTCGCCGAGGGCATCGCACGATGCCCCGCGGGCGACGGCTTCTGGAAGTCTGGCCGGGGCCAGTGATTCCTCGAGGGATCCATAATAAAGTGTATTACATACCTACCATTCCCAGATAATATTGATGTGAAAGCGTAGATGGTCTATTAAAACGGAAAATATGTCATCGCTGCCGATGCGGGCGCTGCACAAAATCGCCACGCGAAAACTTCATTGTGGGGCCACATATCACCTAAATTTGCGACGCTTTCGTATGACGTCATCACTAAGTCGCTATAATGTCATGTAATTTGCCGTAACACAATGAAGCTTTGCCATTCATCATCACTTAGTCAAAGGCCCATACTCTGGGATCAAAAAGGGAATTCAAAACCAAGTGAAGCATGCAATGCATTCTGAGACAATGCGAAATCGTGTTATATGCGGAAAGCTTTCAGGAGGTGCGTGGAAGGGTCAGTACATAGAATGAAAGATAAAAAAAAGATAGCTTTCGCGTTTAAACCGTTTTAAGGCGAACGCATAGGTGACTTTATGAGTTCTGTTCTTACACCAAACTACTACTACCAGGTGACAGGTGTGTATGTTTTCTTTCGACATTTTACGGGTGGTTAAGGTTCTATATAGGCCAGCTAGGCTGTTCCACTCTGAGAAGGCAGCAGCTAACAGTGTATTACGGCCACGAACATTTACACAGGCAAGCACGGGGTTCCTTTCGGGTAGTAGCCACCAGTGACTGCCCAATTTGAAAGGACGCTTTATTATTTGCGGCAGAAATAGGCAGTCTATCCTCTATTTAAACCCTGGTGCTAGAGAAGGTTTAGCAAAGTTCCAAAGCTACAGAACCATCTTCGCGATTTTGTATTCGAAGTAATGCTCAAAGAAGTTGTATTTTAACGCGATAGCGTTAAATAGCTCGTGTCGCAGTAAACCCGCCGCCGTCGTCGGCCCCGTTGGTTGTGAGTAAAACATCGTGTGTGCATCTGTGACCGAAAATCAAGTTACCGAGATAGCTGCGGGAGGCCGCTCCTTGTCCACGCGTGCGTGCGTGATCACACTAAAAAAGCCGCGACCTCGACAAAAAAAAAGTGCTCAAGGTCATGAAGCTCAGTACTTTCTTTGCCCTGCCATCCCTCCCTGCTTGGCTTCCAGCGCTTTCGTCGGGACAAGAGAACAGATAACGCAATTGCAGCATGCGACAAACCTTTGTAACTCCATTCGCACTGGACGGATTCCTAAAATTTTTGCGCCGTTGAATTCGTGAGGCTATAAGCTCTTCTAGTGAATTAATTCCATGGTTACTTGAAAAAGTGTTTCAGGGCCCCTTTAACGCATTGTTCGACAGGTCTCACAACGAAAACGAGCCACTTCGGCGATAATAGCGTGTGCTGGCCCAATCTACTGTGTGCGTGTTTGTGTGTGTGCGTGTGTATGTAACAAAACATATGAATAAGTATGCACTTGGCGGTTGAAGGGTGCACTAGGGGCCGGATTTCGCTATCACGTTCAACTGTTAAAGGCGAAGCTTAAAAGTCCCCAATTTTTTACAAGCACGCTCACTATCAACTCCTCATTGCGTCTCATTTCTTGAAATGAAGATCTTCAATGCAAGAACAAAATACAGTGAACTCCGCTGCAGGTCGTTTTGCGACATCGTGCAGTAAGAGGAACATAGCGTTGAAAGAAATACAGTCACATGCAACACATTCACGTGCATCTTTTGCTGTACACACCACAGAGGTTGAGGCTGTGTAGACGGAATCCAGCACACCGTCCAGTAGGTTCGCCCGGAACAGCCAAGACAGCTCGACGTTGCGCAAGCGGTGCACCGTCTCCTGAAGGGCCTCTTCCCAGGCGTACATCTTCACCGTTCGAATGGATGCAAACAGGTCTGACAGACTCTTGATGCGTTCATCCCGGGCTTTCATTTGCCGTTGCTGCAAGACAGAGTCAAATGGAGATGAGGAGCCGATTTTAAGTAGTTATCTCTTTTTAAGGTCTCGTCAAGAATTTTCGGAAATACAGAGAACGTGTGCGCTATCCTCCCCTGCAATTTCCAGTCTTTTCAGTGCACTTCGGGGCACCAGCAGCCTGTTCACGTGACGTAACGAGGTGATGAGCTCGCGATGGGCCCATCGAGAGCTAATCGACGTTGTTTTGTAATGGCGTATGACTGTTTTGTCGTTTGCAAACTACTAATTTGCGGTGATGTCGAGAAAAACCCTGGGCCCACCAAGAAGAAACTGTACGAGCAACTACTTGACGGTCAGACAGAAATGCAAAAGGAACTACTTGAAATTAAAACACTATTTTCTGAGCTGAGAGAACAAATGCTTGACTTTAGGCGTACTTTCGAAAATATAGCGACTGAGCGCTCAGCAGAGCAGGAGAACACCCATAAATTGCATGTCACATTGAAATCATATGAACACACAATGTCCTTTCAAACTAAAAAGCTAACAGATTTTGAAGACCACAGCAGACGTTCAAATGTAATTATTCATGGAATACCTAAGACCTCCACAGAATCAGAAGAGGAACTAAAGCACAAGGTCGTGAAGGATCTTTTTCAAGAAGAACTTCAGGTTAAATCTGAATCTGTTGGGCGTATCTGTCGACTGGGTAAGCACGTAAGAAAGCGGCCTGTAATAGTGTATCTGCAAGACTTTACAGAAAAAAAGAGATAATGAAAAACGCAAGCAAACTGAAGGGCTCAGATATCTTTGTTAAGAATGATTATTCAAAATCAACGCTAAAGATACGCTGTCTGCTCTGGCACAGCGCAAAGGCCGAGATAGAACAAGGGAAAAGAATCAACCTGATACACGATAAACTAAAGATCGATAAGGATATGTATTTTTGGGATGAGGTGCGAGATAGGCGGGTAAAAATGACCGGCTACAAGAACACCGCACCCCAACAGCCTAAACCTGGCGTAATGTGCATGCGCACAAGCAGCTTCGTCTACTTAATTTGAATGCCCGCAGTGTTATGAATAAAACTGAGCCCCTCAAAATCCTATTACTGCAGTACGATCCTCACATTACTGTTATAACTGAGACGTGGTTACATGAACAGGTGGATGATGGAGACATTTTTCCATTTTCCTATACGGCTTTTTGTAAGGACAGGCAATCAAGGAGAAGCGGTGTGGCCGTCCTGATCCAACAAAAATTTGATGCTGTCTTGTTGGATGATGTACCGGAACTAGAATGTATCTTTATTAAAGTAACTTTGTGGGGCCACTCATTTATCGTATGTGCATTATATAGACCACCGGACTCAACTCTTGAATACCTATTAAAACTTAAGGAACACATGTCTAAATACCATGGCAACAATGTTCTTTTGATTGGCGATTTCGATCTTCCCGGAGTAGATTGGGAACGTTTTGAAACCTTTACAGCCAATATCAGCAATGCAAATGCAGTGTTTGACATAATGCTCGCACAGAATTTGGAAGAATGGGTTCATGAACCAACGCATTATCAGGTTACTGCTAAGTCTATCTTAGATCTGGTATTTATTCCCCGTGATTTCAGTACACATGCCGTAGTAATTGATTAAGGGCTGTCTTATCACTACCTTATGCCAGTTTCCATCCCTCTGGTACCGCTTTCGGAAACTGCCAACTCGTCCTTTCGTTGTGTGAAAGACTATACACGTGCCAGTGATGCTTGCATTATCGAGCACCTAGAAACCTATCTGATATATTTTGTAGCTACCGATGTTTGTAGATTGTGGGACCAATTTAAACACATATGCTTCTACTGTATCGAAAAATTTACACCGTCAATTTAAAAAGGTGCATAAACATACGCCTTGGATGACGAGAAGCATCATTCATCTCAAGCGTAAAGTTAGAAGAATAAATAAAAAAACATGCTGACCCCAAAGTTATAGCTGACGCTCTAGATAAGCTTGCACATGCCGTACACACCTCGAAGGAATACTACTTCGATACGTCACTCGCAAACTTCATAAAGAATGATCCAAATAGGTTCTGGAACTATATTAGCGAAAAAAAGAAACCAATATAACAGGTTTTTGTCAATGGTTCAATAATATCTGATCAGGCTGCCATTGCTCAACACCTCAATGAGTATTTTCATGGCGTATTTTCTACTCCTAGTGCTTCCCCATCTGTCATAAATGCGGACAATGCTGCAAATGTAAACTTTATTTTTTATTCTGGTGTCGTTGCTATGTTGTTGAACTCAAAGACTAAGACTTCTTGCGCCCCGACAATATCGCCAACATATTTCTGGGTTGCTTTGCTGAGTCTGTTGCAAAATACTTAGTCGTCATTTTTCGCGTCTCTCTGTTGTCAGCGGAATAGCCAGATGACTGGAAGTCGGCACGAATTGTTCCTATATTCACGAAAGGTGACCCTCTAGTACTACAAAATTATCGACCGATCTCCTTAACATCATCATGCTGTAAGCTTATCGAACACATAATAGCTCATAAATGAATTCTTAGAAAAACGCTCAGTTCTAACAAATCATCAACATGGGTTTCGAAAAGGATTTTCTACTACAGCACAATTGGTTAGTATCATTCATACCTTTGCAGCTTGTCTTGATGCTAACGGCCAAATTGATGTAATATTCTTAGACTACAGTAAAGCATTCGACACAGTTCCATACGATAAACTAATTATAAAGCTTCGGTTAGCTGGCATACCAGAATTATTTATCTCCTGGATCTCAGCTTATCTACTCAATCGCAACCAATATGTTCAGGTAGGAGAAAAACAATCGGGCTGCCTTCCGGTGACTTCTGGCGTTCCGCAGGGGAGCGTACTAGGCCCCCTTCTGTTTCTGGTCTACATTAATGGCATTGTTGATGTAATTAGCACCCCGGTACAAATTCGTCTATTTGCTGATGATTGTGTTTTGTTTAAAGATGTAACCTGCATTAGTGACCAATGTGACCTTAATGCTAACTGAGGCAATGTATCAAAATGGTGTGAACAATAGCGAATGCTTCTTAATGCAAACAAACGTGTGTATCTCCCCATAACGTACAAAAAAGTCCTATTAGACTACACATACAATTTAGCTGAAGCACATTTACTTAAAGTAGCCTCCTATAAATACTTAGGCTTATCGTTAACAACTACCTTATCCTGAAATTTGCACATAAATAACATTTGCTCTGCCGCTTTTCGTAAATTTCCGTAAAGCCACAAGCTCAATACTGCTCAGCCTAGTGTTAAACTCCTCTCCTACTTTTGCTTAATTAGGCCTAAACTTGAGTACGCCTCCATAGTTTGGGATCCCCACACAAAAATGAACGTTCAAAACCTAGAAAGCATTCAAAGAAAAGCAGTACGATTCATATATAGTAAATTTATGTAAACCGACTCCCCCACTGCATTACTAACGGCAAATGGTATAGAACTATTACAAATTCGAAGGAAAAAAGTCGGCTACAGTTTCTTTCAGACATAGTAAACCACAGGCTATCCTTAGACACCGCAGCATACGTATCCCCCTTGTTAAGCAGACCCACTCGGCACCACTATCCTAATTCCATAACGCCAATCTTCGCAAGGACTGATACTTTTCGGTACTCCTTCTTCCCACAAACAGTAGATGATTGGAATAAACTAACCGAAGCATTTCCTCAACGCCCTTGACCATTTGTGTAAATACTATTCTTCCATGACTTCCTTATAAATGTATCACCTTGTTGTTCAATTGTGACTTTTTTTTAAGTCATAACCCCTCTGTCTTATATGCAAAGAAATTGTGGAAAAAAACACTTTGCAACCTTGTTTCCTTCTGTTATTTAGTGTGTTTCATGTATGCTCACCCTGCTTGGACTTTTTGTCCGCAGTGTTCTATAAATAAATAAATAAAAATACACGAGAAACATCCGTCACAATTGCTGTTCTACCCAGTTTTGCCATGCCCTCACAGGCCCGTTTAGTCATATTCCGCCTGACTTCTCAAGTAGCCCTGATGTTGACGAAGGTACTTGTAGGTGTTTCCGAGACTAAACTTTTCATTTGGCTAAAGTTGTGCCTGGAAAAAGACAACAGAATGCGCGAGCGATTAACACTATAAACCAATAGCGGCGTGAACAGTCGTCGGTCGTCGAGCAGTCTTATCATCTTAGGAAAGCGTTGTCTTTCCATAGTCAACGCTAGTGCTAGCATGAGCTTTCCCTTAAATTTGACAATTCGCATCTGCGCGTATAATTTTAACAAAGTGGTCTTCAATAATCCCAAAACTTTTCAACCATTCCAGCGTGGCCGTGAACGAGCGCGTCCAGCAGTTTTTGTGACTGGAACCCTAATACAGCTAAATAAAGTTCATAAACAAGCGTGGTACTCTCACGGGCGAACAACAGATTTTGCGTCTTGTAATGCGTTTTCTACTACGCAAACATAAATGAAAGGTTGTGATGAAGGAAAAAAAAGGTGAAATTTTGGCAGGCTCGATGATTAGTGTTTTCAATGTATGCCTGTTTCATAGAAAAACATGTAGAGAAGTGGTGATAGCATTGGCACAAAGGGTAGCGAAACCGAGAAAGAAAGCACTCTCTCGTCTCGAAACTCGAAGTGGTTTATAGACCATTGAAGTTTTTTTTTTTTTTTTTACCAGTGGCTGGCATCCGTCGCTCACATACCAGCATCGTGACTGGCTGAAATGCGCCGTCGCAAGCAATTCTGCGTAGATATTTTTTTGAGAATACACAATCTTAGAAAACTATGGGCACCAAGAGCCGGCCGGTATGCGCTTTTACGGCCGCAATACATAAATATGTGACAGGGACAAATCGCACGAATTGTAGTGCCCGGCAATCAAATGAGCGTGAATGTTGGCAAACAGTAGATAAATCATAAACAGTAAATAAATATATATATAAATTATAAACAATAAATAAAGAGATGCCTCAAAGAGGACAACACTTTATCGAACGAAGA